TGTTGAAATTTAGAATATTGAGCTTGCGTCTGTAACATGAAAATTATTTGCGACTGGAAATTGCCGTTGGGGCAAACATTTTTTGTGAAAATGTACGTGGGTTCAAATGTACGCGGGTTCAAATGTACGCGAGTTCAAATATATTATACGTTGGTTCAAATATACGCGGGTTCAAATGTCCGTGGGTTCAAATGTCTGTGGGTGGAAATATATATGGGTTCAAATGTCCGCGGGTGCAAATGTTCGTGGGTTCAAATGTACATGGGTTCAAATGTCCGCGGGTGCAAATGTCCAGGGTGCAAATGTTCGTTGGTTCAAATGTACATGGGTTCAAATGTACGCGGGTGCAAACGTACACGGGTTCAAATGTCCGCGGGTGCAAATGTACATGGGTTCAAATGTACGCGGGTGCAAACGTACACGGGTTCAAATGTCCGCGGGTTCAATCTATATGCGGGTGCTAAAATCCATGAGTGGAAATGTATGGGTTCAAATGTCCGTAGGTGCAAATGTCCATAGGTGCAATAGTATGCAGGTGCAATTGTTCTGGGTTCAACTTACGGGTTCAGATGTACGGGTTCAAATGTACGCGGGTTCAAAGATAATGGAACCCAATTTTATTTCTTTATCGATTTGTATTAACATTCGAAATATGAAGGTTCAAAACATCGGCTACATAGACCCAATATAGTAATATAACTCCTGCAGTTTGCATCCGTACAATCCGATTTCTTGAAATTTCGGACACCTTCGCATTAGCGAACTTCTATATTTATTTTGTTCTGCTCTGTTTCTGAAGATTCATATTTTTGTGCCAATGTACGCCTGCGTATTAATGTTGTCAATATTATCGTTTTTTTTTTTAAATACTGTTAGCGCAGCTGATTATGTAATTGCTCTTAAAATAAATCCTTTTTGCTGATAAAATTTTACTTTTTTGACGAATTGTGTAAGCTTGCTTGGTTACCTTTTTCCATTTCAAATTGATTTGACTTAGAAATAACGATATCAAATAATATTTATGCAAGACCCCTGGATTTTCTGAGAGTCTGAATGGGTTGATTACTGCCTTTAATAAAACTACTGAAGAAAAGATTATATTTTTTTTGTAATAGTTTGGTTTCATCTGGGTTGTGCATGACATTAGCACATGTAAGTCAGACTTGAAACGCCTCTCCGAGCAGGTGTTTCGACACGATAGATAATGAAGAATTTCAGTCGACAAATAATGGAGTATTGGCTGGCTTAAGTTTAATGAAAATATAAATAAATATTAATAGGAATAAAGTTAAATTGTAAATTCATTGTATCAATTCTAATCGCAGATGACATTTGAGAACTGTGAAAATTGCCCTGTCCGTCCGTTTTGTTGCGTCCCGTTTGCGCTTGTCAGTCGGTCAGAGTTATTTAATTTGTCACTTGAGCAAAAACATCCAACATTAGATTTTCGGTGATAAATATAGAAATAACGTTAACCAGTTCTGAAAATTAAAAGCAGTATTCTGCTTAGGCGAAATTGCTGTATCACGAATCCCACTACTCCTTTTTTTTCCAAAAGAGTCGTAAATTTGGCCTGACGAGGGTCCTGGGTGGCCCTCCACCTACCTCTATAACGAAAACTTCCAAAATTTGTCTTTTTGTTGAGCAACTGCACAATTTTCAAAATGCAGACTAAAGTCAGCTAGAATTTGATACGGTATATGTGCCTTTCTGATAAAATTTTTTATGAATACTTGTTATTATGTAGGAAAGGTGCGGGACAGTTTTTCTAGAGTCTAAACTCAATTGCTCGTATATTCTCAAGGCGAGTGATATCATCACATTTTGCGGTTTCAGCATCATATCTCCTTAAAAATTAAGAAGCAACATTTGTATGACAATCAACATTATTGGGCTTTAAAGACTAGGTCGTATAAATCGTTAAGAAAATTTTAAGGTCATCCTTTTCTATCAAATAGTAAGCTAGATCCAGCCATTTTAGAAATTTGCATGAGACCGTCAAAATGTTCACCGGTTCATTCAGTAAAATGCAAACTTTTAAAAATAATCATTCGCGATTGTAAATATATAAAACGAATGAATATCTGTTGGCAGGTCAATAAGTAGAGTCTTTCCCCAAATATGATAATCAGATCAGTTACCCGGAATTCGTCACGAGCTAACCGACAGTGAGACTTAACTAAGTGATTAACTCGGCACACAAATCTCGGATGACCTTTGACCTCGATTATTATGTTATTTTTTGCGTCGTGAGAAGCATATTTTCAATATAAAGTGACCCAAGTCAACAGTATATTAAATGGTGTTGGTTTAAAGGACATATAGGGTGTCCATGAAGTCTTGAACTTTTTCAAAATTGCAGAGGGAATTTATCAATGCCATTTATAGATTTTGCCCTCACAGATGTTAAAAATACTTGAACAATTACTGATTAAAAAACAACAAACTTGTTCAAGATATATTAAGAACTGACTTTATAACAAAATTGAAATTGTAATGGAGACCCTGTATTGTTTCAATAGTTATGAGAAAATCAAAAAAAATTGTTGTGTTAAAGTGTCATTTTTGCAGTGGCGGCGCGTCAATAGGGCCAACCGGGACAATGCCGATCGGGGCTAGCCCCGAAATTATGACGACACAATGCCGACGTTTCTTACAACAACGTGTTGACATATTCACGCATTCCTTCTCGTTCGTTGGTTGCTTGAAGAGTTGATAGTTTCCTCGCCTTCGTTTTTGTCGCTTGTTTCGCTATTTGAATCAGTTAGAGACCTTTAGTTCATTTGCTTTCGATTTTCCACATTCCTTTTGAGCTCCTCACTTCTTTCCGGCTTCGCATTTCTTAGCCTTAGACCTCATAATGAATAAGGTTGATCCACTACTTCGCACTCCGTTTTCGCAGCTGCCGCTGGAACAAAAATTAGAGGTACAACGTCTTGGGCCTTATCAACCAAAAAATTGTTCACTGGAACAATCCCATGACGGAGGAAAGCGTCGGCGTACATTCTGCGCAGAAACTTGGTATAAAAAACACGAATGGTTGTGTTACAGCGAGGACAAAAATGCACTTTTTTGTTTTTATTGCCTACTTTTTGCTACCGCCCGTGACTCACGTTGGTGTAAATTTTGTTTTAGAGATCTTAAACATCTTTCCGAGCGTGCCAGGGATCATCAATCTTCTATGGAGCATCTGGACAATGCAGTAAAATACCGAACATTCGGAAATGTTAATATTGCAGCACAGTTGGATGAAGGACGCGTGGTTTCTGTTCGTCGGCACAACCAAAACGTCAAGAAAAACCGCCATGTTCTCGGTCGATTGATAGATGTTTTGAAGTTCATTTGGTTGTCACGAGCTGTCCCTCCGTGGGCACGATGACCGGGCTGGCTCTTCTAATAGAGGGGTATTTTTGGATATGGTGGAATACACCGCATCCCTAGATACAATATTTGTATATGTGTACCTACTCAATTACAAACATGAAGTGAAGTTTTGTAGAGTGTAGACCATGTCAACAGACGTCGCATAAGATCAATTCCGATTATATTTACCCAAAGGAGTAAAGCCCCGTAAACGTCACTAATGCCCTATTATGACTCCTAAAACATTTTTCGTCGAGACTGAGCTTATAACAAAACACAAATAGAATAACAACAAACAAATAGTTGTCTTGATAAAGTTTCCATGGAATGTGGTTTAATCAGACGTTCTTTATTTCCACTAGTAAACAACAATCATTGGTCACTGATTAGAGTGAGAATGAGATTACAGTATATTTGTTTCTTTAATAAAATGACAACTCCCTCTCCTTGTGTTTCTCTTCAATACTGCCTTCTTTTCCTTTTTTGACCTTAAATAAATTTTTGGCGCGCGTGCCACAATTCAGGTCAGGGCGTGGTATCGAGAGGTCGTTCTGCGCTAGTGTGCTCTGCTCCGGGTATATGCACAGTTTCAAGACAGGGAAGGTCCAGCTATAACCAAGTTTACTAATTCATTGCCATTCTTTCATTCTATTTTGAATGAAGCTAGCGCTTAAAAACTTATGAATAATAATATAATCTTTTTCGATTTAATTAAGTAGCGCATATTTTAGTCTTATTCAGAAATTTGAGTGTTATATGATGAATATAGATTTCAGCATTGAATTTTTGTTTTCTTATATACCGTTTGAGTGTATTTATTTACGTGTTTTGCAACGTTTTTCTTTATAGATCAAGTCTTTTGTTTCTGCTGAAATTTTTGTGGCTTGTACTTTGTACCATCGCTAAAAGTAAGTCATAACTATTATTTTCAAATTACAGACTTAAAAAGTGAAGAAAAATCTACCAACATATGATATTGGCATGATTGATGGGTGGAGTGACGATTGATTTAGGTAGAAAGGTAAGTAATTACCTAAAAATGTAACAACGCTTTAGTTTATCGGTTTTATCATAACAAAGGCATATACCGCATTTATCCGTGTATAATACGCACCCGTGTATAATACAATACGCATGGCTCTTTTAGAATGTGCATTGTATAAAAATACAAGGGTCCATGCATAATACGCACGGCCGAATTCCGTCACTCACTTCAGTCACTTGCGTCGACCTCATTTTGTTGTTCCGAAAAGCAAAACAGAAATAAGGGACGACAACAACAATTAAACTATCGATTTAAAGTGCCGTTTTCATCACTTATATACACTGGGTATTGAAATAGATGCGTTGTCCTTTGTTAGACAAGACAGTCCATTCCATGGGTATGATTCTACTGCAACAAGCTTGATCTGTTTATAACGGACTTTGTCACATAAAATTAATAGAAATAAGACGGAAAGGACGCATGTGATATGTATTCGGCAATTGCGTGTAAAATATCGATCAGGAATTTTTGAAATTTTCCTATACCGATGTATAATACGCAACCCCTAATTTTGGAAATGAAATCCGAAGCTGGAAGTGCGTATTATACACGGAGAAATACGGTAATTTTTATTGTAAATACAGGGCTTTGCGAGGAAGGAAGATATTGTTATGCTAATGGACGAGTGACGATTGATCGATGTAAATGGAAAGGTAGGTAGTTGGTCTAAAAATGTTACAAAATCCAAAGATTTTATCACAACTTGATTATGGAGCAAAGGTTTTATAATTTCTAATTTAATTACAGGTATTTGTGAAGGTACAAGATATTGTTACTGGTGGTGACCGAGTGGCAATTGATCGATGTGAATGGACAGGTGGGTCGCTTCATTTTTTATGAACAATATTTTGCTCGTATACGTAAAACATAATTTCCTAAATTGTTGGTTCGTGTTGTTTGTACAGTGTAAACATTCGAATATTGAAAGCGCTTCACTAACAAAATTTTACCATGGAACTTGCGCTTTCCACGAGTTTTCCTCTTTTTATATGAACGATTGTGATCATAATTTGTTCTACATAAACACACGTATGATACCTGATAAGGTTATGCTAAAGTAGTTGTGTACACCTCTGTTAACTTTTTACATCACAATATTGTTGCGTATTATAATTGTAAAAGTTGGAGAATAATGCTATACTGCTATAATCTTTATATGCTACTGACCTAAAACTTGCCTTCTGTCTTAAACCACATTATTCATACACCAAATGCTTTTATATAGCAGGCATACGAATGCGAAATGAGATTTTGAAGAAACCAGATAGCAATGCTCAAATATATGGAGACCAAGCCGGAACGAAATATTTCACCCGTATATTCTCCAAAAATCATATATTGGTCTCGGGATAGCTGCAGTTGGTAAGTTCTACTTCGATGTATCTATTCCACTTCACAATAAGTATCATGTTTTATCAATAACTCACTAGTCACTGGGAGGAAAGTAGTCGTCAGAAGTATGTACACCAAGATGGCGCACAACCTGATTACCCTAACCTGTTACGCATATTATGTTCAGGTTGTGCGCCATCTTGGCACACATACTTCGGGAGCACCTGCTAAACTGGCATTAAATACTAAAGCCGGGAATTTTGAATACCTGATAACTTTATAATCGAATCTTGATTGCTGAGAGGATATTTAAATTTCATATTTCAACCCCATGATTGTATGCGAATTTCTATTGTAATAGGTCACCAAGACACATAAATTATTGAAAACACAGAATCCATCATTTGGTCAGTTCGCCGAGTTGTCACTCACAATGAGGATCATGTTTCATCGATAACTCACTGGGAAGAAAACAGCCGTATGTCCATCACTTATAACAGCGCACTTCGTTAAATAGCCACATATATATCTGTGAATAGTTTTTAAACTCGTGTAACTTATCATTCTCAGATTCTGCCCGGAACAGCAAATAAAGGCGAAATCAATCTTACAAATCGGGATAGAGGAAGTAATTATTCAATGTCTTTTTATAAAGGCGTGAAATATAGTAAAAATTATTCATCTATATCGATATATTTAATGTCCAATTTTAGCTGCAATTCGGAATTTCAAGTATATTCGCCGAGCTATAATTTGTTGGTACTCCTGGAGTATGCGTACAAAGAGGGCGGACACCGGAATGATGTGTACCATGTTGGGGTTGGGCCATCATTTTATTCCAATTTTCCTTATTTTAGTTCTATTACGAGTTTGGGAATTGGCCCAGTGACTCTCGTAGTATTTGTACCTGAAATGATTGGCTGACCCTAACCAGGTACACATACTACGTTCCGGTGTCCGCCATCTTTGTTCACATACTTCGAGAGTACCATATCTAATATGAAATCAATATAGCTTTTTTGTGTTGTTTGCTGCCAAGTTAGATATCACACGCTTTGGTCCGCTTGTCTGACGGATCAAAATGAGAATGACCTAAATTATTTCATAAATTTATTGTATTGAATATTATGAATTATGTATCTTCAAATCCTATTGAACACGCTTGTCCTATTTTTATTTACCTCACGGCTGTCTGGTTAGGAGTCGAATGCTGTCAATTTTCGCTGTCCAAAGTGATCCTTTATCAAAGTGTTATTCAATTCCAAGCATGTGGTGTTGTAGTCTCATAATTGTCATTGCAAAATATGTAATTGGCGTCGCAATTTTAGTCCAGAAGTTATCAACGTCAAAATATTTTTCAAAACACCACTTCAAACCAGTTTTTTCTATTTCAGGTGCGTTCTGGACGGAGTAAACGAAAATATTTTTTATTTTGATAGTGTTTTAGAATTGTACAATCTGTATTTTCATTTTTAATTGAATTGAGCAAACCGGTACCGATGGCCCACGTTGGTCATCTGCCTTGGGATGAATATCTAGATCGGCGAAGCAATTGCTGACCTAAAACTCGGTTACAGAGCGATAGACTGCCATCTAAAAATTTGAGTAACACTTAATTGGGCCCCGCAAGGGGCACGCCTGATTTTGTGTAGTTATAATTAGTGTTAATTGACTACTAATTGGACTGAAAAATGGCATTTGAAACTTTGCGCTAAGTATATCCAAATCTCGCTTACTCTTTTAATGCCAAGCGAACGTTGGAAAAGTTCACTTAATTTGTCACAACCCGAGTCTGCATGAAATTCCTCGTTATCTATCCGGAAGCCGCTCAATAAATTGACCGCTGAGTTAGAAAAAACTGAAAGTCGAGTTCCTTGTTGAGATCTAAAGCCAAATCAATCATTGTGATTTCACACTACCCATTTTGATATGACTAATATATATATATATATTCAAATTGTGCAGACGCCTCAAATATGGGGCACATTTTGGGCTTATCGGCTTTCCTATCGTATCCTAGTTTTTACTCCATATTAATGCAGATGTAATCGAAATACTATCACGCGAATATCAACTATCGCTTTCACAAAAATTCAAATCAAGTCTGTAATGACCGTATTTCCACATCAGGAGGGGCACATCATTACGAACGGCGATAGGGACGATCAAAAGCTGAAATAAGAATAACTTTAAATAAGAATTAGAAAAAAAATAGTTTGTGTAATTACTTTTATCGTCTGTCGTTGATGATCGTTTGCTAACTTTCGCGTCTGTCAGGGAAGAATTCTGCAGGAAAGAGAAACTTCGATGTCAGCAGCGTCACAAATATAAATACTTGAAAAAAGAAGAATTGGCAGAAAGGTAGTGATTTACCGATGTTATGTTGTCGACGGCAGAAATAATCACACTGATCTCCTGGTCTCAACTCATTGTAGATTAGAACTATTCCGTATTCTTCCCAAATATTCGACTAGTCGATAAAATAATCAATTTTGCCCACCCCTAGTTGGTTGGTTTGTATGTTTAGGTATAATTAAGATGATATGCCGAGCTACGCCAAAGGGTAAGTAATTGGGTTCCGTCAAAAAGTTGTACATTCAACTTTATTGTCCACGACTAGCCAAAGGTTGCTACCCCCTGATTTTCACAAATTGAAAAGCTCTGAATTATTGGTTCTCAACAATATCGTTACCTCCAATTCGAATAAGCACAAGCTCAATTTCCCCTTTCATAAAAATAAAATTCTGAACGTGCATTTTATCAAATAAATTCAAAGCAACAATACTATAAAAATTCATGAATACCAGAACAACATCTTGATTTAAACTCTGTGAGGAGGGTGTCACTGTTTCTGCGATATCAAACCTAGGCAAGGTGAATAACAGGCAGCAATTTATAGTCAATTATATGTTTGGCTACATATTTTGTTTGTACGCCATTGCAAAGAATGCGGTAAGTTAAGTAACACTGAATCGAAAAAATGGGTTCCATTACATTTGAACCCACGTACATTTGAACCCATGACAATTTCACCTGTATGCTATTGCACCTATGGAATTTTTTTGTTTTTACGGATAGTTAAACCTATACTAACCCTAACCCATGGGTTTTAGCACCCGCATATAGATTGAACCCGTAGATATACGCATGGGTTCAAATGTACGGTCACCGAAAAAATATTATTTACGTCTTGGAAAGGATAGCATATTCATGTTGGAGACAAACAGAAAACATCTGTAGTTGCTAAGTCGATTTTGAGACTTGAATTCCACGCTGAGAAATTTCGAAAGTAAAACCAGACTTTACGTAGCTTTACTTCGACGCAATCTCAACGGTTTAGATTTCACACAAGATTAAGCTTCATTGCAGCTGTAATAACGATGAAGACCACGTGTCTCTTCTAACCGTGTTACCAATTAAATTGTGACCCAGTCTTATTTCAATTCAACACTAGGGCCTACTTTCGGGGAATGTCTTGAATTTTCATTTATCAAAAACAAATTACGAAATAGAGAATTAGGATATTTTCAAATATACAAAATACGAAAACCGTAATCTATTTACTTATAAATAACACGTTTTCATTCAAAATACCTACAAAACATAGATTTTCAATAATTTAAAACGTGTAGGTGAGATTTCTTGCTATCAATTATGTCAAAAAATACTTTCGCGTTTTTGACTAGGTCTTGGGTCTCAAAAAAATAAGCTTGCATGAATATTCCAAACATCTGCCGAATCAATATTTTAGGCATGGACGAATAGTTCAGAGATCTATCCAATCAAATAAAGAAATTGAGCAAAAATTGTTCCATCCTTCAAAAACACCATTTTCAAAAATTGCGTCGCCATCTTGGCACGCATTCTTCAGGGGTACCTTATTATTAATACTACAACTATTTCGAGGGTATCACTTCATTCAATAAAGCCTGGACAATGTATTTATACACGAAAATCCTGTATTCGAGGAGCAGGTTTTTGCTTACGTTTCATATTGGTTTTCCCATTGTGACATCACAACCGCGTTCAACACTTCTGATGCAGTTGATACATTTATTAAGAGCGAGCGGACTAGGATTTCAATTCTATTTTCAAAAGTTTGAATTTATAATAGATGAAACTTGTGCGCGTTGGCCAATAATAGAGTTATTTGTCGAATCAATATTTATATTTAAAATTTGATGAATTTTCGTTAAAATCTTCAACGTTAGAGAACACATTTTTTTTTAAATATTTTCCACCACTGTTCTCTTCCGCATTCGATTCCCGTAATCGTTTTAATATGATGTTGCAGCATCACTCCATACAGGTATCATATACAGTTTCTTTCAACTGTAGCGTATCTTCATGCCTGACCCCCTAACAGCAAAAAAGGTGTCAAGAGTCCAGCAGCAGAAAACTGTTTTATTATAATAATTTGCTTTTAAAGCAAAAGAAACCAAGTGAGTGAGGAAAAGGGGGAATTTTTTATTCGAACCTTTGTGTCCATATAAAAGTTTAAAAAATGGCATGTAAACGATACAAGTAAGATTTGCCACCTTTGGGCCTCTCATAAATTCATTATGAACCATGCTCGATCATTCTCATGGCTTACGTATAAACGAACATCGCTTGATGATGGATTTTTGAGAAGTTTAACAGAATCACGCGTGCTGAGCTGGATTGAAGTGCAATGACATAAGGTTTGGTAGGTTTGGGCGTTCTTCCAATTTATCATATTCAAGATGAAATTCCTGAAAAGTAACAAAACAACCATTTAGAATTGACTTTAGTTAGTTGAAACTATCCAGCAACAGTAGTCAAAATAAGTTGGATTTTGGCAAAAATAAATTCCAAAACAAGTTACATATACTACAGAAATGAAAATTACTTTTAAAATTGTTTATGAATATGAGAGCAATTCTCGAAATTGTGGACGAAGAGCTCAAGCGACTTATATGATGTTTATATTCAGATATTCTGTTTAATCACTGTATCAATTCACATTCGTACTGTTAGGGCATCAAGTTCAAAAATAAAATATCTCAAAAAAATAAAAGCAAAGACTTCTTTGTACTTTCAAGCACTGAAATTTGAAATCGATTTTCTAAAACAACAAAAAAGTGCAACAACAATTTTGCGAAACGATCCATAGGTTTACATCATGTTCAAAAGTAAGTCAAAAATGCTGGTTTTACAATCATCTTAAGAAACACACAAAAAAGTATCCAGTCCATAAAACTGATTTAAATGAAGTTACAGATGGTAACAGGATCAACTTTTTCAGCATGAAACAAATTCAAAAAACTTTCGAATAGAGTTTTTTTTCTTTCTCACCTTTGCAACCTTTCTCCAATTTTGGCAATCAAAATAATAGTATGTTCCCTGTTCATATGTGTTGCTTTTAACACGCGGATCTATTCCTGGTGCTCTCGTGATCCAAATTCGTTCTTCTTTATGATATCGCCAATCTCTGTTATAACTGTGTAGCAGAAAAACAGAACATAGAATAAATGAAAGATTACTATTAATACCACCTGGTTAGAAATCTACATGGCTGTGGCTTCTAGACCGGGACTCAAGTGGGACTCAAAACTGTGAATCGAAGGTTTTAAATTTCAAAAGAAAACTCATATTGAAATATGACAAAATATTTTTTACCTAAAAAGGATAGATTTTAATAGTTGTATTAGGTATCAGAAAATTATAAATGTGAAAAAAAATTAGATGGTTAGGAGCTGAAGCCACTGCCGATAACACTAAATAACAATGAGAACAAAAGAAGGAAACTTTGAAGGAATATGAAAGAATAAGAAACCTCGACGAAAATTCATCTGACAAGGATTCAATAACATATATTTTGTATTGATGCCGTGATTTAAAAAGTTGAAATGTCTACCAGTAAAAATGGAATGTTGATCATGAATAGCGGAAGTTCGACACTGAGTGGTGTTTGAAATACTTCATTGTTCAACACAATCGAGATGTGGTTAGCGCAATTTCGCAAAACAAGCGGCACTATTGTAGAAAACACTCTGTATTCATCGAAAAGTGTCTCAGAAGAAGAAATATAGATATGCTTTTCTTATTCAAGAGGGCTTGCCGACAGGACGTTCTCTTAGAAAATACCAAAGTAGAACACCATTACAATTTCATGTGTGAGAATGGGGAGTAGAAAGTTACATCAACCAAGGCAGATTTCAGTCACCCAGCTATCCCTCTGTGCAGTTTCAACATTCCTATGGTAAACATTTCAAGCATTTAATGTCGCACATCCCATCAGTGATTATTTTTTTTTCTCTTTGTACTTCTGCGATTACAGTTAAGTTAAGAATAGGTATGTTGTGTCTCGCATGGTTGCCTAGTGGTTTAAAGCAATAGGTATACCAGGTTAAAAACTCATGCCTACCATCCCACCCATATTAAAGTAGCTCGTACCTAACAGTGGCTGCTTGTGCGAGGCTTTATTCCTAGCAAAAGGCAAATAAAAAAAGTAGTTGATTCGTTCCGGCTCGTACTTACAGTTCAGCCGCTGCTGCCAGTTGTAAAACGTCACCAGGATTTGTGTAATAAACATAAAAAAGCAAATCTTCTCCGTATCGATTGAGTTTGATTGGCGCTAGTTTATCTCGGATGTGGGCGTTCGTTAAATATTCACTTGGTACAAAAAAATCAATGTCTTGTGGTCGACAAGGTTGCTTCGAAAACGGTGATTGAAATTTATGATACAGGTTGCTGAGAATATGAAGATAAACAAAATTATGAAAAGCATAAGCATATTATGATAATTGTAGATTATTTGAATGCAAGTACATAGGAGCTTTATGTAACACAGAACAATGCGCCTCAGTAAAGCCAAAGTAGCTTATGTCACATTTTTCATAAGTGGGGGCGAAAGGGGCTGCAAAACCATCCCCCTGGGTTTGGCTGTTAGAACCATACTATTACAAAATTACGATGTTCTCATACCTTTAAAATGTGACATAAGCTAATTTGGGTTTAGTGTGGCAATATGGATAGCTCTGATTAATTTCCAAAATGAATATCATCAGTTGTACTTGGTTGATGATATCTGCATCAGATAACTGCGGTTTGTTTCATCAAGCAAAAAATTTTTGAATTACGCTCAACTTTAATGCCGAATTTTAAATATCAAACTGACTAAACTGATAATTATAACCAACAGTAGGCACATTCGGCAAGTAAATGAGTTACCACTAACATATGATTCCATCTAGGTCTATAGCACTCGCTACAAAAGAAATGCCGTACATAAATCTGTGTGCAGATAATAATGAATTTACGAGCAATTTTCGTTTTGTGCCTTAAAAATGAGAGCGTTTAAGAGATGCAAAATTTTTTTGTGGCCCGTATTTGGCACACAGGCCACAGTTTGCCGACTCCTGCTCTAGGGCTTCAGAATTAAGAAATATTTTACAATTTTTTTAGAACAACACTAGCTATTCCGTACTTACTCTGGTGAATTCAGGTTCAATCCGAGTGTCGTGAGGTCGTTACCAAGGGCAAGATGAACTAACGTCGGATCAGTTTCCGCTGCTTTTATGAAAGCAAGTAAACCCACCACTCCGTATTGGTCCATCAACATACTGCTTGGGATATTTTTGATTGAATTGTCTTGCAATACCTGGAACAAAACATTATCTTTTATAAGAAAATATTACTGAAATACCTAAGGAATGGCCGAAAATCTACAATTTCATGTGCATTACAGATATTAGCAAGAGAGTGATGATTAAATATAAGGACATGAGGGCCAAAACGAAAAAGTATGGATATACTTTGTCACAGTAATTTACCAGTACTGCATATAAAAGTAATGGTCTTCTAACAAAAAATACAATCTTCAACCATTGAAATTTTCAAAGAATTCGGAAAAAAATGACTAGAACAGCAATAACATAATAACGAAACGATCCATATGTATATTTCGTGTCCGATCACAGCAAAAAAGTACACTTAAAATTTGATCAAGAATCTGCATTGAATTATTACATTCAGCAAATGCAACAATTTTTTGTATTGTTGAAATTGCTTAATTTCATAATATAATAATTTTTAAAGCCTATTTTTAGTAAATATCCACGAACAGTGGATTTTATTTGTGACAGAAAGAGCTGTTCGAATCCCATGGAAAGTAATTATTACAACAACGAACCTGAATTCCTTTTTGATGAGATGATTGTTGATTACGCAATAAACCAGATGACATAAGACCTGATTTATCTGAAATTCAAAAAATTATCAAATTTCATAGTGTTTTTTTTTACATGACATATTCATATTCCTTTTGCGCTGTAACTACGCATTGCGCATTACGCTCTAACTACTAGAACACCGTACCTACAAATTCTTGTTACTACAAGCCCCATGTTCACAACCTCACCCAAGGATAACAGCCGTCTGCCGAACTTGAAAGATTACAATCATTCAAAATTAGTGGCCGCTTCACAGAGACTATTCAGAGTGGCATGATGAATGTCATAAAAATGACGTTTATAAATTATTTTTTTATAAAATATTACTTAAAAATATGCATCATACAAATGGAAATACAAACATTTGTCCACTTTTCATAGTCTGTTTCATACATGTTTTTGAGGCAAACAAATCAGCTTGTTCAAACATAATACAATTCCCAATAATATTTACCACAGACAAACAAATAACAATTAATATTTACAGTAACCGATATAAATATACCAATAATAATATAGTACGAAGACCAATATGTATAGTTTATATATTCACTATTTTCTAATTAGAATGATCGAACACAAAAATAAAAATAAAATAATTACGAATTGATTATTGTACAAATGAAATTTCACGATATAAATTAATAATTATAATTTATAACATGACAATTGACGTACCATCCATATTTCCAAGAGCGTGATGAAGATTACCCAAAGGACCCTAAAAATAATTGAATAAATAAGAAAAGGTTATTTCATTTGTGGTTGAACTAAGCTCAACAAAGTGGCGCATCGTGATAAGTTTTGGAATACGCTTGCCACCAAACCTCTTGATTACTCTGCGTGGGTTCGCAGGTTCAAATCATGTGACATACCGTATTGTAAAATTAGGACCAAAATAACTTATTAATTTGATCAGAACATGGTAGTTTGTGAAAAGCAGAAAATTTTCTTTAACCTCAAAGTAATTCGAAATTCAGCTTTTAATATGATGTAAAGGGTGGTCATAAGGTCCAGTTACAATTTCAAAATCTAGTTATGATGTCAGTCACAATACATTAACCAGATTTGTTTCATTTTAATCAGTATTTATTCAAGTTTTCTTATTACTTTATTTCATACCTCATATGCCCACTATTAGTTGCATGAAGCACATTTGAAGTTCTTTTACCGAATACAATACTGGACTTTATGAACACCATGTACATATCAATTTTTCAAATGGGCGACGCTCAAATATTATTCATTGTGTTTGCAATTTGATGTCAGTGATAAATTGAGTTAATATTAGTTAGAGCTAGTGCTCGGCATTTTCGAATACCTGATGTTTTCAGAATCGAATCGAATATTTTTTCGAATAAAATCTCGAATACTTCGAAGTCAATGGGACATATGTAATTCTGGGCGACTTTTTATTGTAATTGGTCCTGTCAACAAATGAATTACTGAAAACGTAGAATACACCACTAAGACAGATAGCGGAGCGTTCACACACTATGAAAAACACTTATTTATCAATAAGTCACAATAGAAATTGTCATAAGTCAGAATCACATTAAAAAAATATGGCTTCAATAAAAAATTCACCTCGACCATATGCGGAAAGAAAAAAAAAAGATGGCGGCGATTCCAAATTTTGCTCTGAACTGATTCAAATAATTTACTATTTGAATCGATTTGAATATTCGATTCGAAGTGCCCAGCCCTAGTTAGAATATATTGATTATTGCCTTATTAACCTTTGAAAAGAATCTTACTCCTTTAATTAAATATAATAATACTATGGGAATTTATGATTTAATAAAATAATATTTACATATTTGCTACTGGATTCATCCCCTCTGCCATCTTGTTCTGGAACTAGATAAAAACAAAGATTTATTAACACAAACATGAGCACGAGGGGCCAAGAGTGTTCCCATTTACCACATAAAAATTTTCACATGAATTGAAATTAAAACAGCTAAATTTGTGATGAAATAATTCAAAAAATAAATACTTAAATATGGAAATTTTGAAATTGATCGGTCCATTAGTTGCAAATTTTTATTTACAAAACCAACAATAATAAATGTGTGTACACTTTGTGTCAGATATAAAACTCACTTTGAATTGTTTTGTATAAATACATAGGATTTGCATAAATAAAAATGTAAATTATATGGAATACATTTTGAAATTCGGTTCACCAAACTTTTTAGTTATTACCATTTAATTGGTGATTTTTGGAAAAGAGAATCGAGCAGAAATATTTTAACGAAGTAGTAGACATAGTACCGGCTTGGTATACAGCCGTACAAGAGGCCGTGGTTTTCCATGTGACTAATTTTCTTCTCTTAGTGTATAAACATCAAAATCCTATCATGTCAAAAATTCGAAACGATAACATAAAAATCCCGCTATTAAACTAATACTTGAAATTATCATTCCTTTGGCATTGGTAAAAGTTAACCAATAGAAAACAAAATAAGCAGTTTTAGGTGCTCCCGAAGTATGCGAACCAAGATGGCGGACATCGGAACGTAACATGGATAACTGGTTAGGGTTAGGCTATAATTTTTTTCCAATTTTCCTTATTTTAGTTCTATTATCAGTTCAAACACTAGCCAAGAGCCTCCCGTAGTATTTATACCTAAAATTATGGCCTAACCCTAACCTAGTACACATATTACATTCCGATGTCCACCATCTTGGTTCGCATACTTCGGGAGCCCCCAGTTTTAAAACATTTGTAATGTTATCAACAGAATATTTTTCCAAATAGTTAGTATTTCAAATAGTGCGACCTATATTAAATAAATAAAGAATCGAGAACTTACACAACGGCTTCATGACATTCAATGCAGTAGCTGCACCAGGAAGAGCTGGAAAATCCTCATTTTGTATTTGAAATTCAGAATTTCCACCAGGTTTATTTAGCATACCTAAGTAAATTCAAACAATGAGATATTTTTACAAAAGGTCAATGCAGAAATGGTAATTCTATCACAAAATATAAAGCATTGTTTGAAAAATATAATATAGTTGTGAATTTACATGAAAGCATGCCGTTATAAGATCCAAATATGTGAATATTTCATTTACCATAAGGATGCTTTGAATTAAGTGAATCAGATGGTTGTGATCCAATAGGTCTTGCCCTCTGTGCCAAAGCTGGAAATTCAGCTTGATCAAGATTGAAGGGATCTAAATAACAAAGTTTGTAAATAAACTTGATATTTTGAAACGTGTTTCATACTATCTCGTTCTAAACAACCTTTTAGGCAAGAAGTCAGTGATAAGTAGAGATATATTAGATAATATTGTTACGATTTTAATTTTGGTAAAGTGATCTATATGACTCGGCGGACTTGACTAGTGGCTAGAGAGGGCAATGACCTGACTTAGGACTCGATCTTTAAAATTTGCTAGGTCTTGATCTTACTAGAGATCAAATAAACTGTGACTGGACTTAGAATCGTAACTCCAGGTTGAGAGACGTATACTGTACCCCAAGTGTGTAAAAAAGAAAAAGCAATGAAATAGTACCGTATTTTACAGACCACAACACGCACTTTAAATTTTTTTTTTCTTAAAAAATCATTATAATCCGTGCCCTTAATGTGTGGATCAACTATTGCTATATCGCCTACACTCAAAACCAATACCAGTATTATTGTTTTATAAACAGACCGCCATTTTACGTTGTCTTTATATAAAATAAATATTTATAAAGAATCGTGTTTTTTGTTTTGTTTAATAAGCTTTGTTCGATAACCTGGCACTCCTTAAAACTGTTGCGTGAACTTGCGTCTCATAGTCCTAAGCGCATTATGTATGGAAAAAAAAAACAGTCTAGCCAATTTATTGACAGTGCACCTTATGGTTCGTAGAATACACACTCCTCAAAAACCGTTGCATCTTTTAGCCCGATGCGCCTTATGGACGAAATCCCAGTCTAAGCAATTTATCTACAATGCAACTTATGGTCCGTAAAATATGGTAACCGAATGCCGAAATAGGGTAATACTCCCCTATAATTCAATATTAATTTCACAGAAATAAATAGAACTAGAAAAAATATTGATGAATTGAAAGAATTTTCTACGGCATTAAACTCACTTGAGATACCATTTGTTATTTGGCTTGTAATAGTTGGTCCGCTCTTGAGAGCAGGAAATTCACTAATGTCAAGCATTCCTGATGAACCATTTGGTCCTTGAGGCTGTTGTCGAAGTTGAGATAAATTTTCACTTCCTATTGCATTCATACCTGATGACTGGAAAGAATAATACTTATTTAACATAGGATTTCTAGTGGTTGCAGGCACAAAAATTCTGGTTATTGATCTTATAACATGCATTGTTCACTTCACACAAGCTAGCAGTTAGGGCATTATAAGGTCATAGATATATATAATAAATTGCACTCAGGTATACACCATTCAAAATTGGCACTTCTCCGCGGCCCCCCACAATTTTTCTTTGTGGGCTGCATTTGGCCCATGGGCCGCAAGTTGCACACCGCTGTTCTAAACAAATGGAAACTGTTCTTCGGGAATTCTAATCTGGAATCTCACGCCACACAGAGAAATTCAGTGCATTAAATATAGCAATGATAAAGACTGAAGGCATGGAATTGCCATAAAGTTTCTTTACAATTTCGATTTTGTTATGGAGTCAGTTCTCAATATATCTTTACCAGGTTTGTTGTTTTTCAATCAGTAATTTCAAGTTCGAGTATTTTTACTTCATTCAATACATCTGTGAGGGCCAAAACAATATATGGTGTATGATAAATTCCCTTTGCAATTTTAAAAAATTTCAAGACTTAATGGACACCCTATAATATCTTCTATTGGCTTCCAAAACATTAACGAACATATTAAAAACAAATATTCTTTTGATATTGTAATTTGCATTTTTATCGCCTTAAAAAGAATATTAAAGTTAAAAAAGCTGGGAATTTAAATGCTTGAATAAGTTTTAAAATGATAGCGATTTTTTAATTGAGCTAACCAGAAAGGGTTTCACACCTATAAAAAGATGAAAAAACTGAATTTGAATGATACCAATACAAATAAACAAATAAGAGAGCATTGAAGCAGGAAAAGGATATGTTTCAAAGACAATAGTTTTACATACTGCAAGTTAAATAATTTTTCATTCTCTCTCCAGATATTTTAACATGTATATATACTAAGCATTCAATAAACCATATTCAAAAGAAAGAAGTAAAATTTACCTGGGTATTTTGAAACGATTGATTCCTGAAACAAAACAAAAATTTTTAAATAAAATATATTAGCATAAACACATTCCAATCCTAATCAATCAAGTCTTACCTTGAACCAATTAAATTATTATTTCCCCTGTTCATTCCTTGTTTCAAAGAAAGCATATCTGGTGAAATTCCTCTTGTTGGACTCATACCTTGTCTTGATAACAAATTATTATTCATTTGTGATGTTGGAAGATTGGGTGGACCTATCGACATAGAACTCCTTGACATTGGCGGAATACCCCTGCGTAAAATATGGGTCTTTCTTTATTTCTTTAATATGGGTCACACATAGATGGAACAAGCTCCTGCATTATATCCTATATCCGCGATCGGCAACATGCGGCTTTTTGTTCCCAGAGCTCTGGTTCCCGTAAATCAAAGTTGCTATAGCAAAGGCATGAAGTAAACATAAACGATCACAAAATTGAATTTTACTTGAAAACAGCATTTTTTCGAGTAAGTGCGTCTTGAGTTTTTTTCCCTGATAATTTTGCACCACACGAACAAAAAGTTTGGAAACCTTTGGGTTAAAGCATTAAGACTCAACTATGTTGGCAACCCATGCCCAGGTATAAAATCTCAGGTTCAAATCCCATACCCACCAACTCACCCAGGGTGTAAAAAAATGGGTAGGCAATGCCGACCCGACAAGATTGTGATCCTGAAAATAGTAGACTTACATATCAGAGCCTGCTTGTATAAGTCCTTGTTCAAAGCAAAAGACATAAAATATATGTGTAAAAAATCAGTGAAAATGTTTTTTGAGCGAACCTGTTCTGCTGTTGTTGTTGTTGATTTAACATTTCTCCTCCTAAACTTGTTGGTGTTAAATTCCCTGGTATTGAAAAACTCCGACCAAATTGACCCAAACCTCCCATTGTATTGGATTCTGTTAAAAGAAATTAAAGAAAATGAATATTTCAATGTCATTTTATCCTACAGTTTCAAGTATCACAGCTTGAAGTACCGGTAGTAACTGTAAATTATCATGTAGCATTCACACATCGAAAAATTTTTTTTACGATAATTTAATTCGTATTCGATTAGGAACGCTATGAATTTTGACGAAATTAACTTACTCTGCTGTCCATATAATGGAGAAAATTGTGAAGATTGAGATTGCCCTAACATCTGCAAAAAAGAAAAGCTTCAAAATCCAACAAACACAATCTATAACCAATAAATTTTTTAGAGTGAGATGTATTTGTTATTTAAGTTTAGATGGCGGCGATTAAAGTTTTATTTGATTAAGATTTGCTGCATGAAGTTCTCATATGTTCGCTAGATACAACATTTTATGCAACCAGATACAAGGATGGAAAACTAAAAACAAGATATTGTTTTATATCTATCACAGGAAAAAAGAGACTGCTTAATCATATGGTGGACCAAGGTTTCTTGTCCTGTCACCAATTCCAGTCAGATATAAGAATATTTAACCGGTTATAATGCTAATTGTTCCAAATGCATATACTCTGATAGTGGATGAAGTCAAAACTGACCAGTGGCCACATGAACCACTCTGCAACAAAAATACTTTCACTTCTGGTTCCATTCGCTATTTCAATAGCCTTTTCAATATACAGATATAGGGCTCATGGGCTGCTACATCAGCAAGGCACAGTTCTGCGATTCCAGGAATAGCCCCCATATTACAGACATCAATTATAACAGTGAGTGCAAACCCCTCCTTTCAGAGACACCGCGAAATGACACTGCGCAATAATCTAAAAGTAAGCCCAATCTAAAAACATCACCGTTGGATTCCTTGTAAAAAAATTATCTAATTAAAAGACAAAAATTTTACGAGCAGCATTCGAGAGTTTTTAGCAATTATGCCGCAATGGTTAAACCAATGCACTGTTTACCTTGGTTAGATCAAAACTAAAAATATTGAATCTTTGACTAACATATGACATGAATTACTTACGTCCGCTACAGAACTTCCAGAGTTAAGATATCCCATGCTTTCAAGTCCTCCTGTCATGTCGTTATCTTCAAAGAGCTTAGAAATGAATTTATATAATTGAATAAGATTGAGAAATAGTTCAGTGTCACATTAATAAAGAATTTCAAATTCATAGCTTCAATGATTTTATCAAAAATTTCAAGTAAAAAAACAACTTACCATATTCTTCTTTGGCGTGTTGCCAAAACCAGAACTGAACATATTGTGGAAACTGTACTAATTAGTTTTCCATGTGCCTTGCACAACTATAGATACAATGTAAATATCGTCAACTAGGAGAATAAAACATACAAAATGATGAAACACCAGCAAATTCCCACAAGAGACGGAATAGAACACTAAACAATAATGTAAGAGCTGCAAACAAAGCGATCTTGCCTCTGGCCCTGGGTTAGTTGACAAAATACCCACAGTCGGATACAAGAAATTGTTTTTACCACTGGAGGGCAAAACGACGCGGATTCATTACTTACCGGAAAACGTTGAACGCGGAAATGTATATTACTCGATATAAACGAATAATTATTTCGTTTAATGTCGAACAAATATCTGAGTGCAAATATCAATTTTTACCGACTAAAATTTTAACAACCATGCTACGCCATTTTATATACTTGAAAATCTCAAGACATAAGGGTGAAAACCAAGTCGAACACTCCGAATCTTCGGAGGTTTCAATCATTTCCTATCATCCCACTTTCTCGAGATACAAGTCAATTTTCATGAACCTTTTTACACAGGGCTGATTACTGTTACAAATGTCCTTATATTAAAGCCTCAACATTTTTTCTAAACTGTTTGGACTAAATATCTAGCATGATTTCAGTGATTGTTTCGATTACTTATGAGTTTAAAATGAGAAATCTTCAAATAGATTTTTCGAAGAACCATTATGAGGCCTTAAACATACTGAAAACTACGTTCTCTGAATTTGGTTTCCAACCTAGGACAGATATTAGGAATAGATAGCCGGTTATTTGTTCTTTCGTCATTTTGAAATGTTTAATTTTTCGATTAAATTATTACCTATGATGTATTTTCCCCTCTACTGCAGCTATCAATAAAACTAATGTATTCATCGAATAATTTATTAAATATTTTAATAAAGCTGCAATAGTACACGGGAAACGATTTCACTGGATATTTCAGGAATACAAGAGTTGTTTATTAAAAAAGCGCTGGTCGATTACGGCTTTCTCTACCATCAAGTCCGTGCATCTGAAACAAACAAATGACTGGCAATTAATCCCTTACCAGAAGAGGGGCCGTGGTTTGCCGCCTCATCGACTTTCCTCTCCCCCAAGATAAACATGTAAATACTTTCCTACCACTGGCAATGCATGAAAGATAGATTTTATAAAATATGCTCCAGGGGTTTGCTTACGAAGCATCCAAGGAAAAGGCAGTACGGTACCGTATTTCGTTTTTTTTTTGCATTACTTTAGCTTTTGTGGAATGCGTCAACGCCTTCGCAGAGCATGTTAGAATCCCAAAATGGTAGAATCTTTTTACAAGTAAATATGAACTTCAAGAAGCCATGGTTAAACCTTTTTTCCCTCGAATTATGGTAACAAACTCATTCTGGAATTCACACAATACCAGAGAAATTTCATAATCACTAGTTGAGCAATCCATTTACTAAAATCCTCATCGAGAATATTGGAGGCTTCTTCGCTTAGGAAGTGAATGCCAACAAAGTGACGCATCAATTTTCCTGGAAATTGAAACTAGACTTCGTGGCTCAAGCAGGTATAGATGAAAGCGCGCTTAGTGGAGGATAATTCGGCAAACGATAGTGACAGCCATTACAGGCTCTCAAAATGGTAAGTCTTTGGCGCAAGAACTTTTGCCGGACCAACAGCCATCCTGTCACTTTTCCTCTCTACCATTATAACTGAACAAAACTCTATTTCGGAATCTCCACTAACATTTCCAACTAACAAAGTCTACCACAAAATTATAAACATAGCACAAATTCAATTTTTGATTCTTTTACTTCTTAAATGAAGAGGTAATTTCAAATACCTAATGTTGACGAATAAGAAATAATATAAGGATCAAAAATATTAAGAACCATGCTTCAAGTTGCACCAAGCTGCTAAAACACCAAAATTATAAATGATATCAATAAGTGCATCATAAATAAAATATAGTATACAGTTTAAATGAAAAAAAAAATATATGAAATTCAAAAACCACAACATTTGATACTGTGAGTAGGGATTATTCAAAAGATTCCCCTCGGAAAAATTTGAATTCAAATAATCAAAATGGAACTTATTGTTCAAGAAAGTTCCATAGAAATAATCAGTGATTTCATGATGAACAGCATTAATTTCAAAAATCATTATGAATATAAAGATATCACTAATTGCGAGTATTTTGAAACAAGATCTTTTCCTGGTGGCCCTCACACAATAGAAAAGTTATCAAAAACACCAATGATCCCGGTTCTGATATCCTTCCTAAATACTCAGTAATTATTAACAAAGAGTGTAAAGCTCCATATATACGAAATCCAATTCCTTTTTCTTGAGACAAATATCATGCTCCAAGATGAGCATCCTAATGCAGACGGTTTCCATTTATTCCAGCTAGAAGACTCATTTTTATTTCACATCTTCCAATACTACACATGCCTAATAGCTGACGCCCATTTTAGAATGCAATATCAATGATTAATACTAGTTGGCTTAGCAGCATCATGGAATATATCTCTTCTTTGCGGTGAATACTTTCATGTATTCGGTCATCAGATGAACAATCTCAGATGCCTGCAAAGCAACGGATTTTATATTACGATAATTGAAAGCATACATGCCAAAGTGGCAGTATCTGGACAATGATACTGCAACTTTACTTTTACGTTTGTATGGGGCATTCAACGCTTTCACTTCTAAAATGGCAAAGAAAAGAATACAAAGAAAACTACTAAGGACCTACATCTGTCTGGTGTGCTTCGTATAGTCAATTTTGTCACACTCACCAGCTCTTCGAATTTGGGTCATGGTAAAATCTATTTTGACACTAATTTATAATTCCATCTTTAGTGCAAAAATATACAAGCACATCGGTTCCATTAAAAGTATTTTTTCATGTAATATTTCCAGTATTATCTAATTTTATCGATTATTAATATTAAATTATTATCAAAAATGCGAAAAAATTTAGCCAGGTCAAGTGAGTCGTGATGACAGAAGTTTTGAAGACAGATGGACTATAAGTCAATCAAAAGAACTACTAAGACCCTAATTTTTTGGTCAGCCAGTCTTTTTAATTGTTATTGGTATATCAATATGAAGTGCAGTAATAATATTAAAACAATCATACCTTCTCCTTAGACATGGAGTAGAAATGCTTTTCAGGAACACCTTCTTTTTCAACAACAATCATGAATCTGTTGTCACATCCACCATATGTCATGATATTTAGGTACTTGTAAGTGTTTTCAATGGCCTGAATATAGAAAAAAAAGATGACCAGAAAATATGGACTACCGCATTCCACAGACCATAGGTCGCATGTCAATAAATGCTTAGATTGGGTTTTTATTTATACATAAGGCGCACCGGGCTATAAGACACAATAGGTTATTAAAGAATTAAAGTGCACCTTTTGGTCTGTAAAAAATAGTTAGTCAAAAAATTGTTTTGTTTCAAAAATCTGACATAAAATTTCGTTTTTATTTTTCAAGACAAGTTTCATATATAACCCAACAAAAAGGAACAAATGCAGGCCTACAATATGCATGTTTATATAAGTGTAAGAATGATTACTCGCTTCAAATTTAAAACTCATAAGACAGCTTAATATTAATTCAAATAATCAGACCAGTCGTTGGTAAAATAAGAAATGATAATTTGAATCAGGGGTGTGCAACCTTTATTAATACAGGAGGCAGGAGGGCCAGATACAAATAACTGGGTGAAACCGCGGGCCGCATCTTTTTTAGCATAGGCTACCTATTAGTTGCAGGCACAAAAATTTTGGTTATTGATCTTGCGTTGTTTGCACAAGCCAGCTGTTACGGCATGGTAAAGTCATAGGCATAGATAATAAATTGGACTCGGGTATAGGCTTTGCAACGCAAAAAGATTGGAATTACACGCAGACACCAAATTAAATTAAAAACTCCTTCACGGGTCGCACATCATTCCAAATTGGCAGCTCTCCGCGCGCCACACAATTTTTTTCTTGAGGGCCGCATTAGGCCCCACGAGCCACAGGTTGCACACCCCTGATTTAAATCACTGACAATAAAGTATTCAAAATACAAACCATTGTAACATAGTTCAATTCATTAACACCATGTTCATGTACTGCCAACCATATTGTTGATAATTTATTATGTTTTCTGTTTACTTCAACCTGCGAAAAGAAACAGAAAGATCTTTCAATATATTTCTACATGAGAGATGAAAAAGTATTAAAAATGTATTGTTAAATGTATTAAATTTCAGTAATATCTACATTAAAATTTGATTCAATTTCATCAACTCAAGAATACTGAGACACGTCTCAAATATTTTTTCCTATTTTCTTTTCTGTTTTCAATATCAGATTTCTCATTTCTAACAAAATAACAAAAAAGGCGTTATCCATTGATATTTTTTAAAACCAGTTGCTAAAAACAATAGAAAAAGCATCATTTCATGGCTACTACCCTTTATCAGATGATTTTTCTATGCAAAATTAGAATATAGATTTAATGCAGGAGTGGGCAATTACTTTTCTGAGTAGTCCAGTAACAGATAATAGACTTGATTACTAGGCCAGAGACTTAAAACTCAATATGAAGAACTTTGAATGAAAAATAGTTCATTTACAGCAGGTGTCCAACAGCTAGGGTAACGTTCATATAATAATGACAGCACAATGTAACAATCGGGTGTCATTATATTGTGATTTTCATCGACATTTTTAAAAGAAATTTATATACATAAATATAATCGTAATCGTAATTATGATTAAACTATAATCGTAATTTCAGCAGATGGATTGGATGATGGATCAGCCAAGTTTACTGATATAAATTATTATTACCTGGAATAATTTTGCTCCATACAATGTAAATTTCCTTGTGGTTGCTAAAATAACTCTGGCACACTCACTGGGTGAAGTGTTTTTTAACATTGTCCATTTTTCACATAACTTTGCCCGAAGTTGTCTATAAAAGCCAATAAAGTAAGAGAAAATGGTTGGGACTGTGTTAAGCAGTGGTTCCCAAAGCTGATTGACAAGGAGCCAAAATCAGAAGCAGAGAGATGTTTGCGGGCCGATAACGGTACCGGTGCGTATAATTAGGGTACCGGTTAATTTATTTGTTACGGAATACGGATATACACATGTTTAAACTGTGATAATGACGTAACAATTGGCGGTATCTGGAACGCAAAAGGGAAAAACATATTAGTGTTAAACTATTTCACTTAAGTTCAGCGGGCCATATTAAATCGTTACACGTGCGGTAATTGGCCCGCCGGCCGCGGTCTGGGAACCACTGCTGTAAAGAATTAAACAGTTAAACCGGAAAGTAACTTAAAAACCAACTGTCTTGTCAAAAGTCTAGGTCAGAGTGAACATGTAAAATGGGATTTAAACAATTGGTGGTAAGACAAGAGCAAGGCATTTTGGGACGCCTATCCTGAGGTTAGAGGTTGTGAGAAATATATTTCTTTCCTTTTAAATACTGTATTTCCTTTTAAATATTGATGGAAATCATAATCTGATAAATAGGTCTCAAATCTACTAGAGTTGAATAATGGCTAAAATCACCTAAACTATAATGATAAACTTGATGAATAATCTTAAGCGAACAAGTACTACTACTTTTATCAATACTTTCCCACCTAAAATCTTTACGCTTTAAACCTTACTTTAGGTTTCGTTTGTTTTCCCGATTCTATAATCAGTTTTATTTATTTTGTTTTTATCAATTATTTTATCATCTATTGCTGATTATGGAGTCGAAATAAATTTACCGTACTTACTTAATAATCTTAAGAGACAAATGGAAGTACAAAATATCAAAAAAAATTTTGACGAAAAATAACCACGGATTCTTGGATTCTTTATTACCACATAAGATACACATCCATCTAATTCCTAATAAAGTTAATTTGCTACAGATTATCACTACAAAAGCTTACCTTAGCTGTTGTTTGTTAGCATTATCTATATATCTTCTGGGATAAAATTTCTCCAAGATATCTTTAATGCTGTGATCAGCAGTTCTCATATCTCCTTCGTGCATTTGAGCACATATTGATGATAGTTCAATTGCAAGTTCTCTTGTCACAGGGAAGCGGTCTGATGCAATTTCATCTGCAACCTAAGAACATAGAGCAAATAGAAGCTAAAGTTTATATTTTCTTTTGTTGATGGATTGTGAAACATTACAACATACATAAGCAGTCAACAACAGACAAAGCACTGCTATTTTAAAGAGAACGAGAAATAAGGCTTGCGTACACAATTTCTCATTGCACTCTAGGTGAGGTGGTCGAAATTGTATCTGGATATGATAAGATTTTTCGTAATTATTCTGGTGAAGAAAAAAGTCTATGAAGGGATTTAATATTATGACAAACGACGGCCTCGACCAGTCACCAGTCTATGTCGAGTAAGGGAAGAGATCAGTGGTTTCGAAAGTGGGGTAATTTTGAAAATTTGAGAGGGTAATCCAGACGTTAACTGTTTTCACAATTTTTTTGTAATCCTTGTATTTTTGACTAGTTTGTGGAAAATCTAAACATTCAATGCTCGCATCTAGTCAATGAGCCTAGGCGTCGAGTCACGCACTTCGTAGGGACATACTTCGTAGGCTAAAATTTTGAGCTTGCTCAAGTTTAGCATCTTAAAGTTGAATCGGAGGATGCAATAGGTGTTAGTATTAGCTTCATATCTGGAAGAGTTCAGCGATCTTCTTGAATATAATAGCAAGTGTGATTGGCTAACCACACAGCTAAGATTTTTCATCATATTCATCAATCATATTTATTTGTAGAAAGTTTACCTGATAAGCAATCAGAATCTTTTCCTTTTCGGTTTCTCCATCTTGGTTTGATGCGAGAAACAAATGTTGACAAAGAGTCACTTTTACCATTCTCGATGAATCTATAACCTTGTTTGAAGATGTTTCTCGATAAGTACGTTCCCATTCTGATATGATATCACAAATCTGAAATTCAATTTTAGAAAGATCAAATCAGAAAGGGATATTAACTACTGGGATGGTGGTGACAAAATAAGTTATACCATCGCCAATCGCTAACAATGAGGTGACAGTACTGTGGAATCTTCGAATTTTGTATGTTTTTATAACACATAAGTCGTAATGAGTCGAAAATTTAGACCTTCATTGGTTGTAATCAAAGTTAAAATCTCTGACGGGAACAAAGTAAGCGTGAAGTTGACTAATCATTCTTAACGAATTAAAAATGGCAGGCATATGCCAAAGTGTTCCTAGCCGAACAAAATTTTTTTGGAGTTGCGATACCAGGTTGTAATTTTTTCAACCAGGGGCCAGAATTAGGAATTGTTTTCAAGTGGCTGCGTTAGTTCAGATCATTATCTATACCGACAATCTTTGGACATGCAATACTTCAGCAGCGAATTTCAATGTCAAGTCTGAGGTCAAACATCCCATGCTAAAATTACGCTTAGAAAGATTTTTTAATCCTTAATTCAATCTCACATCAGCACATACTGCTTCAATTTGATATGATATTATGCATAAATCGCATTCTAATTTAATATTCTCATGTTGTATATACATCTCACTGAAGATGGGTAACCACACTCAGACAATGCATGCTTCAGTAACAAATTTGAGTTACGGTATATGTTACAGTTAAATTAGGTCTGTGTCAACTGTCAACCAAACTGGAATTTGTCTTTTAACAATCTGTTCATATCTCAAACTGTCACCCATTTTCCATATATTCGAAGATTTCATTCTACCTTTGAATTAGTCGAGACAAGATGATTCGTGTTTGAATCATCCAAAGGATCTTCAGTGAAAAGTGCGAAACCAGAAAAAGCAGAACTTCTCAATCCAGCTTGTTGACAAGCACGTTTCGTGAATTCTTCAACTCCAGTTGATGCATCGTAACTAACAACCTATTATACAAGAAAATTTACATATTCATTTCGGGGGAAGGAAAAGCCGATAAGATGGCTCAATCATATGGCGAACTACGGCCTCTCGTCCGGTTATCAGTCCATGCCGGGTATTGGATTAGTCAGTCAATTTTTTGTTTCAGACGCATGGACTAGATTGTGGAGAAAGGCCTTAACCGCAGAACTAACCTAAGGCGATAAGGTCTAAAAATCTTCTCGCAAGTTCACATAGTTGAACGTACAAACTCTCGTAGGGTAGTAGAAGCAGGGGTGTACCCAGAGTCTGACCCCCATTTTGGCTGGCTGTTACGACCTAACTTGACAATTAGAAAGTCCAGAGCCCCCCTTCAAAAATTCCTGACCCCACTCCTGGGTCAGAGATGCGATGGCAAGTGTATTGCTAATGCTTAGCATGACGCCACAATAACCTGATATGCTAAATTAATAGAATAAGAATGTAAAAAACAGGAACCTCGTATTTTCCATTGCAGAAATGAACAGGAATACTGAATGGCAATGAATGTTGATAAGGATTTTGCAATAATATAGAAATGGTTTCAGTACGAGAGGGTGGAGAAGTACGACGTCCACAAGTGAGAGCTCGCCCCAAGGCACGATGGCAATATATTGCATATTGTCCTATTTCATCTCTAGAATAAATTTAACACAATTAAATTTTGACCACATAATATAACTATATACACAAGATATAACGAAGCATAAGTTGTCAAAAATACAAATTTATTTTTATTTTTTTCAAAGTTCAGAAAGTCAAATTTTTTTGAAAAATTCTTAAAACTTGACAATAAATATCATTTTGCAATGATATTAAATAAAATTGAGTACCTTGAGCAAAAAAGACTATAAAGTATTTCCCTGTGATACAAGTTTTACAAAGTTTTAATACTAATTTACTTTCTACAATATCAGATGGCACAACTAGTAGTAGATCCGGGGTGCAGAACTCAAGTAAGAATAAGTACTAAACTTTTCAAAATAATCTTGTCACATGCCATGCCACGTTTAAATAACTGTTGGTATTGTAAAGGAACTACCGTAAAACACATAACAACTAAGTTTAATAATACACATAATAGCTGATAACAGGGCTATGTGCTAGCAATGCATAAACACAATTAGGTTTATTTCGATATATACGTTATTAGGATTTATTATAAATACAAGAATTACTATTACCAAACCCTTTCGTGTGCCACACACACACACACATGTGTGCCGTGTGTTGCGCACCACAGCATTAGACCTAATTATATTGGTATCACAGATTGAATACCTGGAATTTAAACCTAAATCACAATTCACATCACTGAGCCAGGGTAAGTCAGAATGAGAAAATTCAAGTCCTTTCAAAAGTGGTAGCCCCTTTCGTATCGAGGAATGTTGTCCATAGCAATTTTGAGGTGGAAAAGGGATAAAAAAATAAAAAAAAAATACATAAATCGTACTTATCATCAGCATGCCTTTGAAGATGAGCTTTCAAGAACCACAACAGTCTATGGTGTGGTAGGAAGAGTGGAACAATTAATGCAAGCAATTTCCAAACCTGAAAATAATATTTCAAACTGAAAAATGTTTAAGATATTTCAAATTTAATCAACAAATAATCTCTGAACATGAACTTCTAATACAATCATGCAAGTGTGAAACAATGAATTGTTGTGATTTCCTATGGATGGGCAAATTACGACCAGTGGACTGGATCTGGCCAATTGTGTCTGTTGAAATCATGATTATAGTTTTTTATGGATATAAACTTTCGGTTAAAAATATCAAGAAAAATAACGAATCGTCGGCTAAAATAAATACTGTAATTCTCCACACTTTGAATATAATGTATAAAACGAGCCATATATACTTCATACTCACCCATCTGAATAGGTATTCCAAAGTATGGAAATTAACAAAAGCAGAAGATGAATTTAGGCTACGTATTTGTAAAAAAAAAACGTTTTTATTCATAGTTTCATACTGAACCTCCGCCCCAGTAACCAAATTTATTAACAGTAACTGGCCCACTTGGCAAGTAATTGTCGACATATGAATAGAGTTTGAATATACTGTGGCTCCATATCTGGAACGATTTTAACCAGCACTTTGGCCCTGGCCATTGGAAGCTGTGCCATGAATATTCTTTATGAAAACCGTCAAAACCTTGGATCAAATATCAGGCCTCATAGGCCTCTAAGAAAATATGTGAAGAAAAGTAGAAAATTGGTTTTTGCACAACAACCCCTACAATTTAGCAAAACAGCTTGTCTCCAAATTTTTTTTTAGTTATTTTTACCTGCAGTACAGCTGTTTCATCATCAGTTACAGTTGATGTTTTTATTTTTGTCATGTTATTATGCTTCGGACTAATTGACGAAGAATTTTGTTTTGCTATTTTTCCATTGCACTGTTTAATGAGTTGAGAGTAGATTTCTCCTTGTAATTGTTGATGTGTGAGACAAGTAGAAGCAGTACGTTGAGCTAACGTTACATGATAATCAACAGAAGCAGAATCTAATTCTATGTTCATAAAAAGTTGACATATCTGCAGAATGAAGAAAAGAAAATTGTGTAAAAAAAGTGTGCCAATATTAATAAGAAATTTCCATGGGAAAACAAGGCATAACAGGGTATGTTTTATATATATTTATACAAATTTTTTAAAATTTTGATTATTTAAAAAATTTTTCTATTTGTTTAAAATAAAAAGGCTCAATAATATTTTCGAAAACTATAAAATTAATAAGATGAAAAGCATTATTTTTTTCTACTACTTATACTTCTAACTAGTTCCAAATTTTTCATTGTGTCTTACACCTCAATTTATATTCTTGCATTAACTGGCAACCATATAGACACCAGATGGACAGCTACTTAACCATGTTAACGCTTACGAAGTAATTTTCGGAATATCTGAAAATTATCTGAATTAAATATAGGGACATATATACGATCCCATTTGCCAGTTGAATACATTCTCCTATAGACAAACATCATAAAGAAAGTATCATAGTTTAATTACATGTAACAAACAAAATTTTTATATCATTTCATTATACCTTTATCATCTTCACAGCTTCGGTGTGTAACGCTTTGGAAGATAGAGTGGTTAAAGGTTGTGCCGGTGCATCTCTATTAAACGATAAAATTTGATTCCGCCAGAGTGGACTTGCGGCCGCTACCGGTATAGAATCCTCTTTGTTATCGGCCGTACACATTGCCACGTACATCATTCTTGTAACCAGACGTTCATATTGTGTACCTATACTTGATTCAGTTGTATGTGTCCCACTCAATGACAAAGATAAACTGCCACTTGCAATCGTTAGCCAGTAGAGCCATGCATCCTAAAATGGTAAAGATTAGTATCAAAAGTTGACTACGAAACCTGGCTACAAGAATGAGTTAAGACATTTCTAACTGAATTATTCTACAAGATTACTCAGAATCTAATAACTTTTGACTGCTATTCATACCCTTCTGCTACCCTATGTAAGTTCGCAGATTTGAATCCAGTAGGGGTTAAATATGTGCGAGGGGATTGACTGGATCAAGTGAGCGTTGAGGAGTTACGGTTCCTCTACCATGTATCTGAAACAAATACCCGACTAACTAACCCCCATGCCCGACATGGACTGGTAACCGGACGAAATGCCTCAGTGTTCCATTTGATCAGGACATCTTATAGTCTATCCTGTCCTCCGGAAATAAAATTTTAATAATTGTCAATTCGTTCTTTTCTATAAGCTCAAAAGGTGAAAAAAATGAAATAACTAAACTTTATACTGCTTTAGTTCCGAGAATTAACGTGTAGAATTTGAGAAATTTTGCAAAAAAAAACATGCTTTTTGCAAACAATTAATATTACCTTTTCCATTTTAGTTGTGTATGTCAAATATACATCTGCTCTCTGCCGACTTCTAGAGGTTGGAAATTTTACACAAACAGAATTTTCATCATCCAAAGGTTCAATTGCACAATCTTTTAATCCCATTCTCCCAACGAATTCCTATACGATAAAATTACCTCCATCAATACTCTCATGTCAGGAATATTTGAATATCCACATCTCTATGTCTTATAATATTATACTATACAGTGCTGAGAATCCTGCGTGGTTTCGCAGGTTCGAATACCAAACCAGAAATTATGATTGTGGATTGCCGGACTCTGAGGTCTTTGAGTGGTTCAAACAATAATAAGCAAGCTTATGATTACCCTGAGTGGGTTCGTAAGTTCGAATCATGGGCATGAGGATTGCTGAATTTCTCAAAAGCCGTGGGGAGCCATCAACCATCAACTTTGACTGGCAGCCAGGAAAGCGTCGGTGGCTATCGATATGATTGATTCGCCTTACCAGCTTTTATTTCTTATGGAATGAAAAAGGTCCTCTGAATTCGTTATCCAATGAAATTTACATTAGGCAGAAATTTGGGGGTATTATTTTGTAACGACGTAAGGCATTTTCTTGGTCAAAGTTACAATTACTGAATATATATTAATTGCTTTGCTAATTCTTGTTGTTAGTCTAATTAGGGTTGTTCTTGCTGTGAAAGAATTGCATTTCTTCGCTACTACTGGGCCAATAAAATATGTTAAATTTAAAAAAGATAGAATTCACAGCGTTCCAGAAGTATGTGTATCAATATGGAGGTGACTAATTTTGTTCGCCTACTTTACATCAAGTTGTGTAAAAGGACTGATTACTATGGGCAGGGTGGATATTCACTTGGCTAACACAGACAGTCGACGAACTCATATTGGAAATAAACTAAGGAAAATCGGAATAAAATTATGGCCTAACCCTAACCTGGTACACATACACGGGAGTACCAAATTCACTAGAAGGCTATAACTTTGTATTTTTGAATTTTTACCGTGGCACAATATTTCATCAAATTTTTGCTAAATGATTTCAATTAACAGGAACACTTTTTTGATCTTTGACCACATTGCTCTCTTGTTTCATAAGACAAAACTATTTAGGTACCAATAGTACCTTTTCTTTATCATCATTGTAAAAATACAATGATGAAGTTCCGAGACAAGTCCATAATTTCCTATGTTTTCCATCTTTCGATGAACGTTCCAACCATCCCTTTAACGTAATTTTATTTTCAGTTATACTTCTATACCTTCCTGCTTTTCTTAAACCAAGGGTACGTGGACGATTCAGTGAAATGTTGAGTGCTGAGGACAATAACAGAAAAAAATTATGAAGAAATAATCAATGCATGAATATATAAGAACAAAATTGTGCAAACGTTTTCCATCGCGACCCACTTGGCATACGCAAATTTGGGTGCTCCTGAAGTATGCGCACCAAGATGTCGCATAACCTGAATATTAACCTGGTACACAACCTGAGTTCAGGTTGTGAGCCATCTTGGTGCGCATCCTTCAGAATGTCCCAAATTTGTTCACAACTCTCAGGAACTTAATAGGACCAATGTGCTTGCATATTTTTGCACCAAAATTTTTTACACATAAAAGTGGAGGCTTTCACACAGAAGGAGGGAAGAAGAATAAGTATGGCAGGTTCTGACAATATTGTCAAAGCCTTTTCACGACCCACCAGGCATAATTTACCTTTTTGAGCATGAATTCAAGTTTAGTTGAATGGTAGAAATAAATTTAAAAATATACACTTTATTCTGTTATTACCTACCTCTAAGCCAATCTTCAGCAGCATAGTATGTATCAGCACTTATATAGATAACTTTCTTTTCATTTGATATTTCGAATATAGGATGACAATCATCTCCAGATTCTATTTTGAATGATGTTTCATTATTCAATAAAATTTCACCAAGCGGTTTTCTTGTTACATCATTCTGGAAAAGTAAAATTCGTGGAATAACAAGCAATGCTCAAATATATGATCACGAAAGTGAAGACAAAATTTTTTACCAGCAATTCCCCAAAAATAATATTCTTAACAAAGTTGGAACTGTGGTCAAACCTACTGTATTTTACCTATGGGTAGTAGAAGCCATTAAATTTCCAAGTGAAAATTGCCCTTTTTTATCAAGTTCTGTGTAACTTATTCTTTATAAACTCAATCTCAAAATAGAATATATACCAAGATTTGGATATTTTTTCAGAAAGCGTTCAAAAAAGCGAATTATTTTTTGAATTTGGTAAATCCCTGAGTAGAGTACTTCTTCCTAAATCTACAATTTATGAACATATTCTTGATTAGCGGATATAATGTAATACTGAAAATACACTCACAGGAGAAAAATAATACTGCAATTTTCCGGGTTTCAGAACAAACCATCTCTTCTGCCAAGTCCTCGAACAACCACTAAGTTTGGACAAAAATCCACATTTGTCTTGGACCTGAAGTAAGTATATTATGTAAGTAATCTCGCAGACTAGATAGTATATTCCAGCTTGATAATGAAGATCGCACTTTTCATTACATGTTATCATGCCTTCCCTACGTAAATGGCTACGGATAAGCAGTGATCCATGCATAAAAATAAAATATTTTTTTTAAAGAACCAGAATCTTTCAGGTTTTTGTCACACTTCAGAATGAGATTTTTTTGGATTTACATATTTAACCCTGTGGAGAGAAAAGCTGATAAGATGGCTCATCATATGGCGAACTACAGCCTCTTGTCCGGTTACCATTTCATGTCGAGTATGAGATTAAATAGCCAGTTATTTGTTTCACAAGAATGGACTAGATGTTGGAGGAAAGATGTCGGATCAGACCAGCAGTTACGTGAACCACCTCATGGTGGCAAGGCGTCCGTCCAGCAATCTTCTCGCATACATCTTTCCAACACAGAATTCAAACCTGCACACCCATGCAGGTTGATCAGAAGTGCGGTGGCAAGAGTATTTCTAACGCTTAGCACTAATCGTCACACCGAAATTTTCAGAGGGTAGGCTATTTGAAAACTCTCCTGGCATATAATTTTAACATGACAAAAAGTGCTTGTTTTCATAAATGAATCGACTTCACATGTGCATATGAACAAATAAAAACTCAGTAACAAACCAAATTTTCAAAAACAACAACCTACCAACGAAGGTTGCTGTAAATTAGCAGGAGATAATAAAGGCGAAGTTCCATTTTCTGGACTAGTGCTACAACTACTATTCACTCGACTGCTGGCTGCTGCAGGTGCCCCAGTTCTACCAGTTTTATATAGTTTATGTTCAGGCTCAGAACTGTCACTGCATAGAGAAATTGCATCTGGTGGAATCGAATAATCACCTTCGGAACTTGTGATGGAATGAGCAGAGTTAGCTGTAACAGAAATGAAATATATAAACAGTCTATATGAGAATTCAGTGCCAAATTTAGAATAAAGTCACCTCCACTCACTCACAGTCACAAGTGATGATGACTCATTTTTGAGCATGAGCAAAGTTACAGGCAGTCATCGAAATATCAAGGGCCGCTGAATCCATATTAAATTATGGAGGTGCACACAGTGTTTCCCAGAAAATTGGGCCTAGTCGGAATTTTAAATATGATTTTCATATAAGTCCTCCCCTTAAACTAAGACCTAACAAATTTTTATAACCAAAAACATGTAAATGATAAGTGAATGAATATCGGTTTTCATATTTTGTATATTTGAAAATCTCAAATGTATCTACTTATATCTCATTCTCTATTTGTAATTCTATTTTTGATAAATGAAAATAAAAGACATCCCCCAAACAGAAGCCCTAGTGTTATTTTCTCGAAAGTAAAATGAAAATAAAACCCTGTCTTATTTTTGAGGAAACACAGTGATACATGGTAACTGGCACAAGAGCTGAAATCAGCTGTGTGGTAGAGGTAATGGATTCCGAAATCAAAATTTTTGAAAAAAAAAAATACTTCTGAATTAAATAATATCAATGACACATTCAGAGTTCATAGTAAATATCCCCAATATCCATACATATTTTTATAAGGAAATATATCTATCGAATATTATAAGCTGGAAGGACAATTTTTAAGATTGAACAACCATTACGTGAATGGCAAAAGCAGTCAATTATTTACGCTAGCCAGTTATCACATAAACAATGTTCTAGATACGTAAGCATAAAGGTCAACAAGTTATTGGTAAAGCCGTAACAATAACAAATATACACAAAAGTAAAGATTTCACTTCTAAGCCTATGATTGGCAATTACAATGAATGTTTAAATCTACTGACAGTTTTGTTTACAGATATATCATAGACCAGCGTTTCTCAACTTACTGGTCGCGATCCAAAACTGAGTCGGCTGAAAATTTTCTTGAGTCGCCTGCTTTTTTCAATAAAAACCTAAAAGTTACTAATTTTATTGTATATTTTATATTTAGCATTGTGTTGCTCAATAGTAATTGCATGTGTGGGAAGCATCACTGCGTAAAAGCTTAACAGCATTTATTTTGCTTACCGGTAAGTAAAGCCATGTCTTGATTTCAAAAACTCGATGATGGCAAACATGCACAGTTTTCTCACTTTAAAGTGATTTTTGGGGAAATGATCTTATACAAAAATGATTGTTTTATATTATCTATTCATTTTGGTGACAAAAATACTACACGTTTGGTCTTCGAGCATATCTTTGAATCACAATATATCACAAATCTATTTTTGTTTTTAAATTTGGGTCGTTTGAAAAAAAGGGCGACTATTATAGACCTGGATGTACAAAAATGATTCCATAATTTCGGATTTAGGAATAATTTGAAAATTATTATAATGAGTTGCAATGAGGCCTTTTTTATTTTCTGAAAGCTATAAGAAATAGAAAACTTATCAACCAAATGGCTTCTATCTTAGCTTCCGTGCATTTCCAAATTCAAACTAATTGAATATTAATTTCCTTGCATGTGCTTCTTTGTTGAATTTATAATTTATTCAATATTCTGTATTCGAAAATAATATTTCAGAATGTATTTGAAGTCGTACAAGTACAATCAATTGGAAAATTCAGCAAAAAATTGACTATTTTCGGATTTTGCACAAAAAAAATTTAAAATTTGTCTCTACAAAAATATGGGTATGGGAAGGTGAAGAGCACAACTTGCTGTAAAATAGGCGAACAAAATTAGCTACCTGTTACCTCCATATTGGTACACACTACACACACTTTTTGAGCGTCGTTATATCTATAATTTTTATGTAGACAATTCAATTTTGTGTATATTAGGAATTCATATTTGAAAAATGTCATAAAATATTCATAATTGCAATTTACTTTGCAACTTTTGATGACTGACAACAAAAACTTGGTAACCAAAATTGTGTCTCTTATTTGCAAAATCCAAGTCATTATACAGCAGTGGCCAACAAACAGTGGCCCATGGGCCAAATGAAGCTCACAAACAAATTTTTTGTGGCACTCGAACGACTTTTAATGCAAATAACAAAACCTACTCATAAACATATTATTATCTGCATACGGATATATGTCGCAATAATGGCTGTTTAATGGCATGTATTTTGCAATATTACCCAAATGTGCCTCCTGTTAGTTGTAATTAAAACAGAAATAGAAATCGCACATGCGTCATAATTTGAAGTTTAATGTACTGATTGTATCTAGGTTTTATGTAATGTGGCTCACACGCTACTGGAAATGTGTATAATATTATATGGCCCAGTAGTACATGCAGTTTGCCGACCATTGTTCTATACTATGAAATAGTAGATCCTTATCTAACAGTTGTTACATGAGCAGAGCCCATTTCATAGCGAAAAGCGTAAAAAAAATATTCAGTATATTATATTTCCCACCTCTTTTGATGGCTCTAGATTGGCCTGGACTTCCGTTTCTTCTCAATGGAAGAGTGTATGAATACTGAACATTTCCTGAAGATGACATATTCTTCAAATGACTGAGTTCAGAAGCAACAGATGAAGAAAACTCATCATCAGATGAATCTGTTGCCTCTGTGAAAGCATCTCTCCGAAGTAATAGAATTTTCTGGAATACAAATGTAATGCCATGTGGTAGAAATAATAATAAAAATTTAAATTAAGGACAATCTAAAATCTAAAGAATAATCTTTTTAAAAATAATCTTTGTGAACTTCCTTAAAAGCAATGATTCTATTACAAAAATGTAGTTTTTCAAAAAAAAATTTTTATTCTCAAATATCTCATATTTCTGTCATTTAGCCTACCGGTACATGGAAATTATATTCCTGATTATCGAACAATCACATAAATCTCTTTAATATTTAATTTTGGAGGAATACGAAAATCGTTTGTAGATATCTTAATCTGATTCATACATTAGGATGATAACTTCCTCTAATCCCAAGGGATTCAAGAGTTCTGCTGCACACTAACACAAATATATTTCTGTAATGTTTCGTCTGACCCAAAGTCAGACTTCTTCAGGCAAACATTCATCAAACTGCACAAAAGCATAGAAGACGGATAGGTAGCTAGTCTCTGACTTTAAGTTAGGTTGGCAATAGCATATTCTCACATACAAAAAATTCAGATATCCAAAAAAGTAATTGCAACTTACACCGAATACTTTGGTGTACACTGGCACATCAGGTTCCAATTTCTGAAAGTAAGATAAAAATAATAGCGAATTAGGTATTTAGTTTGTTTTTGTGGGAAAAAATAAGTAAAAAGAACCATCCTACATGTGGGATTTAAATTTTACACTGTTTATAATATATTCTCATTATATGTATGTAAATGGATTTGAAAACATTTAGTCAAGTTCGAACTATTTTGGTAACAAATTGTGGTAGCCTATGAAGTGATAATCTGCGATTTAATTATCTTTTATTATTACCTTGTATAATGCACTTGCTCTTTCCTTTGTTGAATGGTAGCAGACCGAAATCTGTGAAGCTAAAAAGTAGTGAATTATTACTACAAAGTATTGAAGTTTTTATTAAAATTGATTACTTATCACTTACCTCTAGAAATATAATTTCGAGCAACCTCACTGGCACGAAGCTGAAATCCATTTTTTGTCAAATTGTAGATTTTTGTTTCCTAAAAATAATAGTGAACTTTGAATGTGACATGGAAAAAGAAAAATTAAGGTATCACATATCCACATTGATCAGAAAGAAAATACGAGTCACAACAACCAAAAAGTCAGCAAGTCTAAAAATTGTATTACGGTATTATTAAACTATTGATTCTCAAACTTTTATTACCAGTGGCCCGCTTCCAGAGAATCTAAACACTTGGTGCGCCAGACTATCAGAGCGGTGGCAAACATATTCCTAATGCTTAGCATGGTGTGCCACACCGCCGAGAGTTTGTCAAAAACACAATTATTTCTTTTATTGTTAGAACTAGTATTATACCCATGTTGGAACTTGATGGAGTGGTGGTGTAGGAGGCCTCTTCCGCGTCGTTCTCATGGACTGCGATCTTTTTGTACGAGGAAGCACAGCAGCTAGCATAGGAGAAGGAAGTGATGTAGAAAAATATCCAGATGCCGGGGCACTTTTGTTTTCAGTAATTTCCATTTTTTCTGATTTGTTTGATAAATTTTCTTCTTCTACTTCCTGGAGTGAATCGTCAAGTCCCGATTGTCCTGTAAATGGATAGGATTCCATATTTATCATGGGAAGAGAAATGAAAACAAGATGGCTCAATCATGTGACGAATAAGACTTTCATCTGCCTACCAGTCTATGTGGAAAATGGGATAAGTTAACCAGTAATTTGTTTCAAATGCATGGTCTTGATGGAGAGGGAAGCCGTAGCTGTAGCCATAACCCCACTATGGGTCGAAGCATCTAGAAATCCCCTAGCACAGTGATTTTCAACCATAGTTCCGCAGCACCCTAGGGTTCTGAAGATACAGTCCGAGGGTTCCACGACTTCACATTCAAATTCAAAGATATAATCGAATACCTATTCACCAATATTATTAAACTTGCTACACTTCAAAGATCATTTTGTTTTCCAATATTAGGCTGGCTTTTATATAAATACAAGTATTTAAATTTTGATTCATTGATCAAATCAAATTTTTTGCATTTTTGCATAAGACAGATAACTATAGGTTTCCTCGAGCCTCTGGAATATTTTAATTGGGCTCCACTACACCAAAAAGTTGAAAACTGCTGCTTTAGCATATAGCCTGATTTGAACCAGCAACACTCTGCAGATGGCCAAACGGCAATCAGCTTTGTGATGCTTTGTGAAATGAAATGCATTTCAAATGCCTAGTGCTGAAAATTTAGTCTTTGAATTCTGAGATTTTAAATGTATTATTTTTATAGAACTGTTCCAGTTTTCAGTAGAATCATATTATGTCATAGTAAGAAACCAAAGTATAATCTTTCAAATTTTTATTAACCAACCTGAAGATTTTGACTTCACAAATTCCTTTGTTATTAAATCAGGCATTGGAGTCGATACATGCTTCGAGCTGTTTTTCGTACTACTTCTCGACACATGTGATTTGCTTTCTTTTTTTCCAGCACTTTGCGTTCGTCTCAGCCCTCTTGTGGGAGACGAATGTTGGTGAGAATCAGTGAATCCCCGAAATTTTCTTGTTATACTTCCAAAAGTTTCGATCAACGAACTATGATGAGGAGTTGAAGATTGATCTTTTTTATTAACAGAACGAGTCTTCGGAAGCGTTGCCGACTTCTTTTTACTCTTTTTATTATCTACAACCCATTTTGGACTTAGTATTGGATCGTTGGGTACTCGATGATCTAACACAATATCAACCGTTATTTCTGAAGACTTGTGACCAGTCCGTTTACCGCCTCCGTGCCTCGATTTTAAGTCTTTTTTATTTTCAGAATCAATCGATATGTGGCTGATTGTTTCTGAAGTGCTTGCGCTTGAACTATCATGCGCCCATGAATTATCTTCTGAAAGATGTGGAAGAACTTGCGGAGTATTTGTTGGACTAACTTCTCGATAGTGATTGTTGTTGTGTTTAGTATGTGAAGGAGATTTATTCTGTTCGTTTTTATCCTTGTGTGGGGGTACAGGGGGTGGAGAAGAAGATATATCCTGGCAAAAAATGAGCTTTTGTCAAGTTTTTTCTGCCAAGTTTGCTCTATGTAAGTTATTCGCACCCAGGCAAAAGTAGAGGAAACTCATCTTTGAGCAAAATTATGGGTGACAAGTTGACAACTAAAATTCAAAAAGCTCCAAACCATACAGAATTATATGATAGTACATTACACACTAATAATAGCCAATTTGGGATTTGGGATTAAAAGAATTTTAGGATGCCACTACAAAATTTATGATTACAATTCAAATTTGGTTAGCTCTGTAAATGCTGTGCAAAGTTTTCTTAAGCTTGCTATTTAATTCCTAAATAATAAGTTTCAAAATAAATGAAGAGTGTCATTGTTGCAATGATTTTAAGAAGTTCACTCCAAAAAATAAGGTTATCTGCCAACTAGACAATATAGTACATCAGATTTTCATTTTCAAATCATCCGATTATTAACTATTATGCCTAATCCAAGAATGCATACATAATGTTCAACAAGTTTCGCGAGAGCAATACTACATACCATGGTATGTGAGCTGGGTAACGGTGAAGTACTTGTCATGGAAGAATCGATGGATATATCATCAGACGTTATCGTTTCATGTTTCTTACGATTCGGTGAAAATCCAGTTTGTTTCAAATTTTCATTTTCAGCAGTGAGTTCTAGAATCAAAACAGAAATGAATGAAAAAAATTGTTTTTGGGTGCTTTGAAAGAGTATTGTGACTTTATAAAGTTGAGTAATAAACACATAATAACCTGCTAAATGAGAACTAATAAATTATCAAAGTAAATGTATACATCTAAAAACTATACAGTAATGAATCGTTTCAAAATAACTAAAATTCTTTTTATATAGTGATGATTAACAAAATTTTTATTTGAAGACTAGCCATTTACTTGTAGGAAGGGTGTGGTGGGTGCAATTACAATGACATTGGCATCATCGATTAAAAATTCAAATCCGATGCCCACCACCTCACCCAGGGGGTGATAAATTGGGTAAACACTAATAACCTAGAAGATTCCGGTTCTTTCAAAATGTAATTGGCTTACATTACATATCAATGATTGCTTGTGTCTTGCTCAGAGCAAGTGAATATCTCATGTATATTCAAAGTGTATAAAGAAAATGAAATATGTTAAAAACCATTATAATCAATTTTTTCTCAGCTTTTGTGATTAAAAAAATCCATCTCCTGATTAAATATTGATTTTATCAATTTCTGTCTCATTCATTTAGAACATACACCAGTATATTCAATAGCACATATTCATAATTCATTTTGAATAGAAAAGACGCTCTGTTCGGTCATCTCAGGATAGACAATACCAGACAGCTATATGCATAATGAATGAAATATACCCCAGAGGAATATGCAAAAGGCCTTCAATCATAATGGCATCATAATCTAATTTTGGCAATGACATATTACTTAGAGCCTGTACTTATGTCAAGAAGTTCCTCCAGCACAAGTGTACTTAGAACGTTTCTCATTAAATATTTATTATTTTACTTGCTACCGTGCCAAGACCTTTGTGAGAGAACTCTAGACAATAGGAGTTTGAAGCCTTTCAAGTATAAAAAAACATATGAAGACTTCAATTCCATTAACTAGAATGTATTTAGATCGTTGGCCCCCAACTTTGAAAACCTTTTGATTTCCCAAAATTTGTGACCCCTTTAAATAAAACCTCTTAATACTGTTATATAAAACTGGACTTTATTAAAATTATTACAAAAAATGCTCTAATTTCTCTATGAAGCAATAAAAATTACATATGAAGACCAGTCACTTCAAGCACTTGAATAAACATGTTTATGCACATGAGCATGAAATCTTTTGTTACTCTGTGAGATTTTTTCGTTAGATTTGTCATCTTTTGCAAGATGGACATGGGCCACAATAGTACCGTGGTTTTAATTTGCCATTTTTTTTCAAAATCAAATAATGCATTTGAAAAGACGTAAAAAAATCTTTCGATGGACTCATGAGGGGACACACACACGTCAGAACAACTGATTCAGATAATTATCTTCCATCTTTTTTTTATTTAAGACGAGTATGGAAAATGTTGAAAATTCATACAGCATACTCATATGTTTGGGCATCGCCTTTATTAATCTAGCTTGTTCAATATTAATTCAATATAACCAGATAAACTGGCAAAATAACTACTTTCTTATTTCTCACAATTTTCAAAATTTCATTAATTATGTCATTTTGTGACAGGAATATGTTCTGAATTCACCTTGCGAAGTTACTAATAATTAAAATACCACCATTATGGTAAATATTCTATATCAATTCCACCATATATTCGAAGATGATAAATTTGTTACATTATTATAAACAGTTTGATCTATTCCATTCCTTCCAATTAACATACCTTGAACTCGAATCTTCATTTCATATAAAGATATTGCTGCTCTTCTATTTGCCTCAAATAATTGTTTCTTTTGATCTTCAACCTGTTGACAACACAGCATTATTGTTTTAAATATATTGCGACGGATTCAAATAAATCTTCAAATAGCGATAAATAATTTTTATAAAATTTATAAAACTAGATAGGGTAATTCAAAAAATGGTTGCCCAGTGAAAAATAGTGTTGAACTTTCCCAAAGCGAAAAAAAAAAAAAATTGAATGGGCACTGTTATGGACCGATGATTTTGCATTCTCTATACAGTCTATACATACGCATTATTTTCGTATACTGAATGCCAAATCGGGGATGAATAAAATTGACCACATCCTATGTTACATTTTACTTTCCATCCGGTTTATTTCATTTAAATTTTATCGCAAATAAACACAAAACAATAGGTGTTAAAAATACACTGTAGCAGTGTTCACTATTAGCGCACTTTTTTGCGAAAATTGCGAAGCACTTTCGCAACTTTTTTTAGGGACTGCGAAATAGCACTTTTTTCCGATTTTGAATGGAATAAAAATTCAAAGTTAACAAATACTTTCGAGTATTAAGTTGACAAATAAATAACATACTAGTACTTTTGTAACTCAATTCTGCATATCATAACGATATTTACCGGAATTCTAACCTATGAGATGCAGACATAGTAGATAAAGCTTTTGCATTAACGGCAAAATTCTTGTTTATAATATGATTATTATACAAGCACACCGATTCCGCTTCTCCCGCAAAAACGCTCCCCGTCTTTGAAACCAGATGTTGGAATACTACCAGTGCCTTTCTTTGAACAAAAGTGGTCATGTGACTATCAATGATATCGTTGAATTCAAAATGACTATAAAAGTGTTAGTAAAGTGTTATAGTCACTTTGGATGTATTGTGACCAAAGTGCACGATTTTCAAATCAGACGAAACTTTTAGCAGCATGTCACAGATTTGCAAAATCACCAAATTCACAAAATACCATTAAGTGCCATTTTATTGTAATCACAATGTTGAAAGCACATGGCATTTTGCGATATTTACACAACTATTTCTCATTGATATGCGAGTACGGGTGGGCGAAATTCAATATTTTATTGAATTGAGTATTTTTAACGAGTACCGAATAACAAATATTTTTGGAACGTCGGTTGAAACATTAAAAAATCGGCAACAAAGCCTTTTTACTGGTTAATTCCGTTGTAATCGCTAATTGTTCTTGTCACCGATCGTTTTGGCGGCGATATCCAGGTTTTGTTAATCTATATTCCCGCCCTCTCTTTTTTACAAATATGAATTCTTGCGGGTCGGCGGACATCGAAGTTTTATATTTCGGGTTTACCCGTTTGTTCACATCGGCAACAGCTGTTGAAGACATTGGGGACTCAAATTAACATTTGCATTGGCTTTAATATTACCTATCAAAATTTGTAAATTTACGGTCCCAATTTTATGCGAATGGTAATATTATTGTCGATACCGTGATGCTGATATTTATTAAGACGATAATTAACTTTCTCATGTTTTTCTATGGTGATAAACTTGACAAATCTGAAATGTGCCAATCCTGAATGTTGATTTAAAATAGTGATTGAATAATTCGGCAATAAAGGCATTTCTGCGTGGTCATAGGACGAGATAACGTTAATGAATAGCACTTCTTTTACAGGATATTTTACGTATGCGACTTAATGCTGAAAAGATTGGATTCGAGTGCTTTTTTTTCGAAGAGGTCAGGCGCTAATTGTAACTAATTCCCTCAAGTTTCAACATGTTTTCAACAAAACAATACCCTGGCGATAATTATAGCTAAAATGTTACCGAGCAATTCACAATTTTATTTATGGAATTTGAAAATTCACCAGTTTCTTGACGATATTGATAATGTCACGCCCTAACTATTAGTGCAAAAAATACTCCCCTTTTTCCGCGGCGGAATAGAATACTGAATCCGGAGGGTTGAATCCTGGTGATTTTCCGTTTTGGAATGCGTGGAAAATTCTCTATTTTAAATTAAATGACGTTTTGCGGGCTAGAGTTCTCCCCGAAAATGATGTGTACCAGACGTTAGTTAGACGATAGATAAAACATTAGATTAATATATTTCATGACGCCCCGTTTTCGAAAATACAAAATTATATATATCGCAAAAAAATGCGTTTTGATACATTTGGAATGAAACATTATTTACGGTTAAATCAGATCATATTTTACTCTTCATGACACCCGGTATCCGAAAATACAGTTGTATTGCGAAAAATGTGTTTTGTTACATTTAAAATAAAACATTTTTGCGATTAATTTAGATCATATTTTATTTTTCAGGACACATGTTTTCGAAAATACAAGGTTAAATCGCAAAATGTGTTTTGTTACATTTAAAATAAAACATTTTTGCGATTAATTTAGATCAAATTTTACCCTTCACGGCAATCCGTTTCCGAAAATACAAAGTTTTATCACAAAAAAATGCGTTTTGTTACATTTATTTTACATTCCCAACAAAATACATATTTTCCCTAATTAACGTCGACGATGAATCTGTTCCTGTCGGTCAAGCTTGACACACGTTTAGACGAGTGTGGGGCGGTTTTTTGGTCGACGATAAATTAAAAAGTTGCCACACGTTATTTGTATAACGATAATAACTGAAAAATTAGATTTTATAATAGAAGTGAATTTGTCTCAAGATGGTATTTTACGATTCTTGCCCACAGAAAATAAACACGCTGACAGGCTTGGTTATAATTGATATTCGTTCAATTTATTTTACACTATTAATAAACGCGCCACACCAAGTGCGGCCATATAAATTGCAGTCGCATCGGTATGGACTGTATGTTTTTGGCGCTCTCACATTAATTATAATTTTCAACAAAACAATACCCCGACGGTCATTGAAGCTGAATTCGTTACCGAGTAATTCACAATTTTATTTACGGAATTCGCAATTTCAAAATCTCACTTGACGATTTTGATGATGTCATGCCCTAATTATTACTGCTTAAATGCCTCAAAATACAACAAATGTAATCATTTTCGACAATAACAGGCGCAACAAAACGAAATTCGCGATTGTTGCGACTCTCTCTTGTTTACAATTTTAACATCCCGCCGGCCATGTATGGTCGAATAAAATGTTCACATATTCGAAACATGACTTGGCCAAGGATGGAAGGGATCACTAAAGAGCTAATAGAAAGTACATACGCGAGGGTATGATATTAATATCGAGAATATTTGTGAGCATATCACAGGACGGAAATATTTTGCACCCGGCTGTTTGTTGGCAGAACAACGATACGCTAAAGTTAATTGCTCGAATACAGGGAAGTATTTATTTATCATCTCACTTGCGAACATCGAGGTTTGGGCGGAATTGTACGATCATGTTGTCTTTCTTAAATAATAACTTTTTCAATAAATGTTCATTTTACTTTTGCGTCTTTATTATATGTCGGGTTTTCATTAATTTTAAATTCGAAATTGTCCGAAATACTCCAACAGGTGTATAAGTACAATAATAATAGTACTTACCAGGGAAGTTTTATACACACGATGTGTTAAGGGCGTCGTAACTCCCGTTTTTTAATTTGATTGTTTTACATTCTGCTTAAAAAACAACGTCGTTTTGCAGTCATCTAACGTAACTCTCGCGACCAAATCTTTTTTGTTTTGTATGGCATCGTCTTGGCGACGAATTTATTGCCGACTGAGTTTTAATTGTGTTTTAGGATAAGTTATTTTCTGTTTGTTGGTTTCTAAACTTTACAAACGTGGGTAGCAATTACTATTAATGTGAGATTTGTGCATATGAACGATTGAATATCGCGACTGGATGTCCGATATCTGAGAATGCGTATATCAGCGTTCATGTGGTCGAATAAAAATTATTTATCTAATGGATTGGTATTTCGAGACACTCTCAAAATTATTTGGGATCCACTATCATATCATTCGTTTATTTATTATATTCATGTTTTTTTCAAGATTCACCCTCGTTATATTTCGTGTACCTTCGCAAAAGAAGACTCTTTGGTGTCATCGTTCTAATTAGTGTAATTGAAATATATGGAAACCTCGCAAGTGGCGTTGTGATGCGAATATTTGATACTAGGTCAGCAGCATTACAAGGAGTGCTATTTATGAATGCTGAAAGTACATGACATAGCTAAACATTTTGCCAATATATGATGTTTTCTGCCTGATTTAAACTAACTCGCACGCAAACCAAGGCACGTCGACATTTAAAAATTACTTGTCTTTGGGTAAGCTCTGAAATAGTATAATATAAATGTAAATGAGAAATTAGGTCACGCTGGCTCACGAAAGGGGAGGATTTTCAAAGTGATCTTGTGTAATATTTCGGAGAAAAAAGTTTAAAAGGAAAGAAGGTCAACCTATCTCCTAAAACAGGGGAGTATCCTGTGTAATATTTCGGAGGGAACGTAGGTTAACCTATCTTTTAAAGCAGCGGGTGGCGACTTTCAAAGTGGTTCAAAATCACAAATTAATAATTATCAGATTAGGTTTAGGGATAAATCGAAAAGTTGAATTTCCAGCGCACCTAACCCTAATTAGTTGATTGCTATTTATATTTGGGCGGGGGGGGGGGGGGGGGGGGGGGGGATTATTTTGCACGGGATTTGTACAAATGATCCACCCTGGAAGGAGTAACAAATGTGAAAGCCTTTGCTGTTCACGCGAGTAAGCAACTGACACTGTGATACATTGCATGAAAGTTTTGTTCGCGGCAAGTGTTAGCAGATGTCTTTTCGTTGCCGATGAATTCGCTTGTTTTAATTAAACATGAATTCGCTTAAATGGAACTCGGTTAACGGAAAGGCTTCTCTTTAATTCATAATATTAACCGGAGGAGCGCTTTTTCGAGTATCTATGCCGTGTTAAATGGGTTATATGAAAGGCTAGAGCACCTAACTTGTTAAAATCGGCAAAAGCACTTTCGCACTTTTTTTTCGACTGCGAAGCACTTTCGCACTCATAATTCGCTTAGAGTTAACACTGCACTGTAGCCCAAATCATAACAGCTAAGAACAGTATTTGTTCAAATGAAAAATAATATTTGTTCTTGAAAAGAAGTTTTTCCTGATTACACTTATTTCTAATCTTGAAGAAACCAGTATTTGGTTGTTAAATATATTAATAAAATATTTACTTCTTCTAATTTTGCTGAAATCCATCCTTTCAGTTTGATTATTTTTTGATGTACAAGTGACTGTTCTTCATTTCTTTGTTCGATCTGATAACAAAATAAGAAATTTATTTTCAAATTCACCATGGTACATAGAAATTACAATACACACGACAAAAAGTTAGAAGTATCCAAAACTTGAGAAATAAAAGTACTACATGGGTGAAAGAAATAAAGATGAGATATTTTTTAATATAGCTTTTAACGAAAGGATGGCCAAAACAAAATAATTCAGTACTCCGAATACATTCTTGAATGATTTTTTCGAATATGAACTATCGAACATATTCCGGAATGGACCTGTTGCTGGAGAGAAATTTTTTAATCCAATTGTAAATTCATAGAAATTAAATTTGGTTATGCAGAATAATAAACATTTTATCTATCATAAAATAATAAATGGCTAAAACAACATTTTCGAATGAAAATATACTAAATTGTCTCTAGAATCAAGAATTTACTATATCAAATATAACCAATTTCGAATGTATTCGAATATTCGATTTGTTTTGGACATCCCTGAATAGCTATCTACATATAACAAAAGCAACACAAGCTAACCATCATCATACAAATAAATATTGTGTTTTGTCTACTATGATCATTCAGGCCAATATGATTATCTTTATGATTCTTGTTTGGTCATAAATGGACCAAATGAAAATATTGACAAATGGAATTAATTTAGGAGTTGTTTGAATCATTTTTTAATATCCCTAGGTTACTTGAATTGTTGGATATATATTAGAATTTGGCATGCAAAAAAGGATTGACTTCATTATCAAGAGACACTTGAACTATTTGATAATACCAAGCGCTGTGAACACTTCAACCCTCTACAGAAAGAAAAGACAAGAGGGTAAACACTTAAGAAAACAATGGAAAAAACTAGTGGTTATTGAAAACACAGATGTATTTATTCGCGAATAAAGAGGCAGTCCAATTTGCTAGGCAGAAATCATTGAGCATGTGGCATAAATACCTAAGACACTGGTGTTAATATATAGTAACAGACCGTTTTCGTAGCCATGGCACAATATATCAAAGGATTGCAATTAATCTGTCAAACTGAGTTGACAATTTATGAAAATACATTCGAAGCAATTTTTCCAACATGTATTCTAATTTCTAACACAAAAAAAAAATTTCAAGTTTGTAAAAAAATATATTGAATATTTTAATTATCACCTATTTCAGACATTTAACATAATTTTTACTTTTTTTTGTGTGCGGCCACTTTGAGAAAAATACATAGGTTAATTATCTATTCACTTATTATAAATTTAGTTTCGCTCTAAAAAATAAACGACAATAAAGATATGACAGATGGACCTTTATATTGGAGAAAAATTAAAGAAGAAATTTTCATTTTATTGCATGCATAAATTTCGGCAGTTTTTGGCCAGAAAATATAATATAGCAGGACAGGAAAGAAAGTAATTGGGCATTATAGGTTAATAAGAACTGCAAAACGCCAGTTGAAATAAACGGAAAAGTTTCAAAATCTTAAATTCTTGTTATTTAAAGGAAAAAATCATTCGTTGGAATCTGTCAAGAATTTGCGATCACTCGTCATTCCAAATTTCCAACAAAGATCAGTTTCACAAAAAGCCAATCATTAGTTAGCGAAGAAAAATCTCATTGTTAGCTCAACTTAGCTAGACCAACAAAGTTGATAAGTCAACACAAAAACCATATTTTTCATTGTATACTATCCAAATGAAAAATTTGGGAACCAGTATTATAGCCATTTTCTACTAACCTTCTATAAGCATGATACCTGTGATTGTTAGTATTCAAGTCAACTAAAATTTGCTTCATTGAAGAGTATAAATATTTATTTTATACTACAGGCTACTACGAACGAAAGGATGCAATACATAAGTATCAGTTCTTTCAGATACTTTTCATAAATGAACAAAAGATATGCCAGTTTTATTAAATATTAAAATTGTGATACCGGTATATGCAAGTGATAATGCAACATAGGTGGCAGAATTTACCTCCATATTGAAATCTGATCTTTTCAAATTTTAAAACTAATTGTGTGTGTTTGCTTGAAGCAAAAATGTGGAAAATCTCATGGAGTCATTTTAAAATTTTCACGCAACTTTTATGATTGAGACATACAAACCTCTGCATTTAAGGCGTTCTCTGTTCTTACAGAAATTTCTAATTTATTCTGTAATCCTGTTATTTCCTCATCCTTCGTATCTTGCAATAACCCCAACTTTTTTTTCAGTTTTCGAATCTGTGTAACAGAAACGGAATAATTGATCATCATATATTAAAATTAACATTCAAACCAAGCGATATGAAAGATTTTGCAGATGACAGGTTCAGATATTTAGTAATAGAGAATCAATATAGCAAATGTGTGCTAAGCACCAGAACATAACTTCATGGTTATTCTAATCTATTTGCGAGTCTTACAATCTGCAATTTAAAATGAGTATGAGCAAGTAGATCAGGACTTGAACCACTCATTGTTCAATGTAACACACCAACAATGTAACTATGTCATTGTTACATTAAATGGAGATAAAATGAACCATAAGATATGTGGAACTCACCAAAATGGGGTTTCATACAATAAAAAAAGAATAATAAACAATGCTTTTGACATTGTTATAATATCCCAGATCCAAAAGCTTCAATGTTATTCATTTCTGTTCATAGTACTACCACACTACTACAAGCAGTATGCGGAAAATTTTATTCTCCCAAAAATTTAAATCAATGCTATAAAGCAGGGGTGGGCAAGGTGGGCCAGATTGAATTACGATACCCATCGGGCCGGGTTTGGCCCACGGGCTGTACTTCAAAACTTATATAATGTACATAGTATATCATAGCCAATTACACTCCATTAGATGATTTGAAATTAGATACGAAAAAAAATTTACAACTTGATACAGATTGATAGGAAGTAATAAAACCAATTACTCAATCAAATAAAAATTAACAACATACTTCCTCTTCTGCCTTTTCCGCTCGTTCTGTTGCCGATTTGCAATCAATTGTCAAAGAATCAATCTGAAATTTAATTAACACAACATTTTTGATATTTTTTATGTTCAAAGGTGTAAAATAAAAAGATGTTCTAAAAAAAATATTTTTACAAATTTCTTAACAGCAATCAAGCAATTGGCCTAAATGAAATAAATAAATGCAGCCATATTCGCCCATACCATCTATTAGAAAAAATGCATATAATGCTCTTTATGTGAATGAAAGATTTAATGATAGTTCATTATCATTAAATTCCAAATTCATTATCAAAATAAAATTAATTTGGTCAATAGCTCACCATTATTTTGGAAATAGTGATTCAGATATGAATGACCCGACCGATTACAAAATCTTCAGGATAAAAATTTCTTACATTCCAAAAATTAGATAATTGCAAAATGAAATTAAATACCTTCACTGCAAGCTTATTTCTGATGTCCGATGCTTGAGAATGAAAATGAGACATTTTATTTTCTAATTGAAGATATTTCGCCTTCCAATCAATCTCGGCCTCCATTTTGTCTCAATAATCCTATAGAACCAAACTCAGTAAAGCAGATTTTATGCTTGGAAGAGAATATTAGATCACTTCCACGATCACGTTCCCGATGATAGAACAGGCAATTGTACAATCGTCATCGTAGTACCAACTAGTTTACCAATGTTTTATTATTGGTATCGCAGTATAAGATACGGTACCTGTAATGAATAATGTAGATTGAATAGACTTTATCTTGACTAAGGCCTATAGTCTAAATAAGTCTAAAGTCTGTAAGTAGACTGAATTATACGGTACCATTTCACCGCGGCGGTGTGGCTCAACGGGCTACAGGGCAAAGCGTTAGGAATACGCTCGCCACCGCACCTCTAACTACTCTGCGTGGGTTCGCAGGTTCGAATCCCATGCAGGGATGGTTATGTGCGAGAGGATTGCTGGACTCCTCGCCGTCGTTGGGTGGTTCACGTAACCGCTGGTCGGTTACGGCTTCCTCCACCACCAAGTCCATGCTTCCGAAAACAAACAATACAGTAAATCTAATCCCATACCCGACTTGGAATGGTAACCGGACGAGAGGCTGTGGTTCGCCATATGGATAAGCCGTCTTATCGGCTTTCCTCTCCCCCGGGATAAATATGTAAATCCTATCCCTATCTAATAATTCCGTGATCACAGAATTATGTTATTAAGTTAGCTGTATATCTCCTGTCACTAGCCTATAAAAACTCACCATGAAATTACAAAGCAAATACTGCATGAAAAAGGTGGATAACTTGAGTTTTAAATGGCCATAAAATTTTAAATGCAGAAATGCCCTGCTACCACTAAGTCATTCACTTTTACTAATAATATCATATGTATGTAAAGTATAATAAGTTATGTGTGTACACTGTGTTTTTCAATTTCTGATTTCCACAAATCTAATACTGTAATAACTGAGTAAACTCTCTCTTATTATTCTTCGTTTCACCATATTCTGATACCAGGATACTGCTGTACTGTGATAACCGAACAACGTGCAACTCAAATCCGAGCCCAATGGATACTGGAAAGCCAAACCCAGCAACCCAACATGGACAAGTACGGTAACAAGACGAGAGGCCGTAGTATACCATAAGTCAGTATGTTAAAGCCTTCTCTAATTCTGTAATTATTAACATCAGCCGTCTATAATTTTCATATTTCATCCCCCACCAATATATATGAAAATCTTATCCCAATACTGGCTACAATATCGTATGGTACCGTAACATTTAAAATTGACTACTTCAGTTCAGCTGCTAAATATTCAATTGCACTTTAACATAAAAACAGGAATCGGTAAATTAGGCTACAACGCGATATCCCACCTAAAGGTTTACTTAAAGTAAGACATAGGGCTGTAGGCAGATATGGTATTCCTTTTTTGCAAATTACACATTAATCCAACACCGCCCTCAAACGCAATGTCTGAAACATCAGGGCTGATTAAGCCCCTAACATATCTCTATTACAGGGGTTCCCAAGCTTTTTTCAGAAAAACCCCAAAGACAACTTTCAAGTGTCCAGTGCGACCCCAGGTCAATATATATATATATATATTCATGGAACTTTGAGCTTTACTTGGGCTTTTGAGATTGGTCGTGTGGTATTATGTCAGTCGTTGGGACCACTGTGAAGCTAGTAGCAATTTGACCTTTGTGTGCGGCGAAGCGGAAAGGTTAATATTTATGGCAGAAATGGAGGCGTGTCCGAATCTACACCCGAAAAAATGAAGATAAACGAAATTAGCATATTATTATGGGAAATATGTTTATAATTTAGGAAAAATAACAATTATATAGCAAAAAAATAAATAATAAAAGCTTGAAAAGGAATGAAAAAACAAAAAAAAGGGGAAACGAATTTTATTTAGCTTCCTTCGAAAAAGCAGATAAGCCAGATAATTTCAAATCCAAGCAAAAATCCCTTCCGCGGGAGAGGCATTCGATTTCATTATTTATTAATAAAGAGGTTTATGTTAATTTTTTCCCACAACTAGAACCTAAGTCTTTTTTTTTATTTTAGAATCTACGTTTTTCTCATAGCGAAAATGACCTTATTTGGGAAAATTACGTAAAACGAAAAAAGTTAAATCTAGTCAATTTTCAAAGTCCAGCAACACACCCTTCTGCACAAAAGACATTCGATTTCATTATTTGTTATTAAAGAGGTTTATCTGAAGTTTTTCACTCAACTAGAACCTAAGCCTTTTTCATTTTAAAAATCAAAGAGTATTCTCATAGCGAATATGGCCTTGTTTGAAAAAAATACGTATATCGACAAAAGATAATTTAGTCAATTTTCAAAGCCCAGCTGCCACACCCTTCCCCACAAGAGGCATTCGGTTTGATTAATTTCCCATTAAAGAAGATTACCAGAAGTTTTTCACACAACTAGAACCTAAGCCTTTTTTATTTTAGAAATCTGGGGTATTCTCATAGCGAAAATGGCCTTATTTGGAAAAATTAGGTATAGCGAAAAAGCTTTTAGTCCATTTTCAAAGCCTAGCAGCACACTCTTCCGCCACAGAAGGCATTCGATTTGATTATTTCACGTTAAAGAGTTTACTGAAGTTTTTTACCACAACTAGAACCTAAAGCCTTTTTATTTTGAGAATCTACGTTATTCTTATGGCGAAAATGGCCTTATTTTGAAAAATTACGTATAGCAAAAAAGCTAATTTAGTCAATTTTCAAAGCCTAGCAGCACACCCTTCCGCACAAGAGGCATTCGATTTGATTATCTCATGTTAAAGAGGTTGTACCTGAAGTTTGCCACACAACTAGAACCTAAGCCTTTTTTATTTTAGAATCTACGTTTTTCTCATGGCGAAAATGGCCTTATTGAAAAATTACGTATAGCGAAAAAAGCTAATTTAGTCAATTTTCAAAGCCTAGCAGCACACCCTTCCGCACAAGAGGCATTCGATTTGATTATTTCATGTTAAAGAGTTTACCTGAAGTTTTCCACACAACTAGAACCTAAGCCTTTTTTTTTTAGAATCTACGTTATTCTTATGGCGAAAATGGCCTTATTTGAAAAATTACGTATAGCGAAAAAAGCTAATTTAGTCAATTTTCAAAGCCTAGCAGCACACCCTTCCGCACAAGAGGCATTCGATTTGATTATTTCATGTTAAAGAGGTTTACCTGAAGTTTGCCACACAACTAGAACCTAAGCCTTTTTTATTTTAGAATCTACGTATTCTCATGGCGAAAATGGCCTTATTTGAAAAATTACGTATAGCGAAAAAAGCTATTTAGTCAATTTTCAAAGCCTAGCAGCACACCCTTCCGCACAAGAGGCATTCGATTTGATTATTTCATGTTAAAAGGTTTACCTGAAGTTTGCCACACAACTAGAACCTAAGCCTTTTTTATTTTAGAATCTACGTTATTCTTATGGCGAAAATGGCCTTATTTGAAAAATTACGTATAGCGAAAAAAGCTAATTTAGTCAATTTTCAAAGCCTAGCAGCACACCCTTCCGCACAAGAGGCATTCGATTTGATTATTTCATGTTAAAGAGGTTTACCTGAAGTTTGCCACACAACTAGAACCTAAGCCTTTTTTATTTTAGAATCTACGTTATTCTCATGGCGAAAATGGCCTTATTTGAAAAATTACGTATAGCGAAAAAAGCTAATTTAGTCAATTTTCAAAGCCTAGCAGCACACCCTTCCGCACAAGAGGCATTCGATTTGATTATTTCATGTTAAAGGTTTACCTGAAGTTTGCCACACAACTAGAACCTAAGCCTTTTTATTTTAGAATCTACGTTATTCTCATGGCGAAAATGGCCTTATTTGAAAAATTACGTATAGCGAAATAAGCTATTTAGTCAATTTTCAAAGCCTAAGCAGGCACCCCTTCCGCAACAAGAGGCATTCGGATTTTGATTATTTCCCATTTAAAAGAGGTTTACCCTGAAGTTTTCCCACACAACTAGAACCTAATGCCTTTTTATTTTAGATCTACGTTTTTCTCAGGGGCGAAAAATGGCCTCTATTTGAAAAAATTACCGCATAGCGAAAAAAGGTAAATTTAGTCATTTGGAAAGCCTATGCAGCACACCCATTCCGCACAAGAGGGATTCGATTTGATTATTGTCATGTTAAAGAGTTTACCTTGAAGTTTGCCACACAACTAGAAGCTCAACGCCTTTTTATTTAGAATCTGGGGTATTCTCATAGCTGAAAATGGCCTTATTTGGAAAAATAACACTATAGGCGAAAATAAGCTTATTTAGGTCATTTTCAAAGGCCCTAGCAGCACAACCCTTACCGCACGAAGAGGCATTCGATTTGATTATTTCATGTTAAAGAGGTTTACCGAAGTTTGCCACACAACTAGAACCTAAGCCTTTTTTATTTTAGAATCTACGTTTTCTCATGGCGAAAATGGCCTTATTTGAAAAATTACGTATAGCGAAAAAAGCTAATTTAGTCAATTTTCAAAGCCTAGCAGCACACCCTTCCGCACAAGAGGCATTCGATTTGATTATTTCATGTTAAAGAGGTTTACCTGAAGTTTGCCACACAACTAGAACCTAAGCCTTTTTTATTTTAGAATCTACGTTATTCTTATGGCGAAAATGGCCTTATTTGAAAAATTACGTATAGCGAAAAAAGCTAATTTAGTCAATTTTCAAAGCCTAGCAGCACACCCTTCCGCACAAGAGGCATTCGATTTGATTATTTCATGTTAAAAGGTTTACCTGAAGTTTTCCACACAACTAGAACCTAAGCCTTTTTTATTTTAGAATCTACGTTTTTCTCATGGCGAAAATGGCCTAATTGAAAAATTACGTATAGCGAAAAAAGCTAATTTAGTCAATTTTCAAAGCCTAGCAGCACACCCTTCCGCACAAGAGGCATTCGATTGATTATTTCATGTTAAAGAGGTTTACCTGAGGTTTCCACAACAACTAGAAGCTAAAGCCTTTTTTATTTTTAGAATCTACCGTTTTTCTCATGGCAAAAATGGCCCTAATTGAAAAAATTACGCATAGCGAAAAAAGCTAATTTAGTCAATTTTGAGAGCCTAGCAGCACACCCTTCCGCACAAGAGGCAATTCGATTTGATTATTTCATGTTAAATTTGGTTTACCTGAAAGTTTGCCACACAAATAAAACCTAATCCTTTTTTATTTTAGAATCTGGGGTATTC